AAACACAAAGGAACTGCTTACCTACCTTAGGCTCATAATCCACAGTGACCATGACTTTGGTCAAAACCAGGGTCGGTCACCTTAGCTGTCCTTGATTCCAAACTATTTGTCATTGACCCCCTGTATACACTGCTAATCATGTCTCTGATCACCGCGTTGACTTGCCTCCTATCCTGCAATTTGTCCAAACATATCTCAGCAACTAGGTTCAGCCTCGATGGCCGTACGCACCCCTACCGGAAATAATAACATTCTTATTTTAATCGCCTACACCAACTATCTTCTTCAAGCTTCCATTGAATTTCTTCCTGATACATCATGTGCCTCTATCACAGTCGTGGTTCCTTTTCAGATATAAATTATCATACTCATACTACTCTCTCAGATTAACTAGTCCGCCCACTAGTCTGTGAACGCACTGGTCGTCAATCTGCAGCTCACGAGCTACAAGCCTCTCTTTAGCTCATTGAGTGTGGCTTTTCCACAAAAATACCGATTTCTGCCCAGGGGCCACAAAGTTTCATTCGCACTGTATGTGTGCGCCCGCACGTGGTATTTTGTGGAAGAGCCACACTCAAGGGGCCAAAGAGCCGCATGTGGCTCGTGAGCTGCAGTTTGCCGACCACTGTTTAGACCAGGGGTGGGCAAACTTTTTGACTCGAGGGCCACAATGGGTTCTTAAACTGGACCGGAGGGCCGGAACAAAAGCATGGATGGAGTGTTTGTGTGAACTAATATAAATTCAAAGTAAACATCATTACATAAAAGGGTATGGTCTTTTTTTTTTTTAGTTTTATTCATTTCAAATGGGCTGGATCCGGCCCGCGGGCCGTAGTTTGCCCACGGCTGGTTTAGACACTTGAAGTAAACCTCAAACTACCTGGAAACTGCAATTATTCAAAATGTGCTGGGGATAGCTGAGGTTTTGGGGGAAGTTTAGTTCATTTCGGCATCTGAATTCGCTGGGAGCCTTTTATTTCATTGGGGTAGATGACACTATCTGAGGCCAAGGCCTTCGTTCAGTCTAAGCTTCTGGGAACAAAATGCAATGCCCGTGTATGAATAGCCGTGGACTAGCCCCGTGACAGCAGCTAGCTTTATTGTGCGTTCACCGTGCCTCGGCCGTTACTTTGATTCTGACTAATCCTTGTGACAACCTCCGAGGGAAAAAGTTACATTTTATAGATATGAAACTGAGGGTTTGTGGTAAAGGACATTGCCAACGTTTACTTAGGGTTCCAAGCGAGGCCATCCTGGCGCTAAAGCCGGCATTCTTCCCGTGGCTGTCCTTCCCTTCCCGCTGATGAGAGCAGGTTTCCAAATCCTGGGTGGGGCTCCAGGATTAGCTCCCAGATAAGGAGGATTGTTCTCGAGGTTGCTCTGGTTCTGGTTAGATCAAGCAGCCACAAGGACAAAGACTGAGTCCTCTCTTAAGCCTTTTACTGGTCTCAACCTCCCACCATCCATCTCTCAAACATCTGCCTCTAAGATAAAGAAACACGGATTCTCATGGAGCTGGCTCAGCGGGTAGTTCATCTAAATCCCTGAAACAATCATTCAAACCAGAGCGGGAGGGTGTGTGTGTGGACGGGGGGCGGGGGAGAGGGACGGGGGTCAGACGCAAGGAAGATGTTTTATTTTAGGGAAGAGGACACAACAAAATTCTACTTGCCTTTTGCCAGGAAGGACACTCTTTCTCTATTGGCTGGATTTGCATCTCATTCCTAAGGCAAGACGTGACTTTCCCACCAAACTGTCTTCACTTTCTGAGAGACTTGGCACCAGGGGCAATGATCAGGTGACCAGCGGAAGTGGTGGGCGCATGTTAAACCTCTGCTCAGGAATGACTGCTGGCCGTGGGGGGTGGTAGGGACAAATAAACGAAAAGGAAGAGGGACAGTGTTGCAAGGTTTGTTTCCCGTGCAAACAGCCCAGCTTGGAATACAAAGTCCACAGCACGTACCTCCTCCCACGTCTAAAACGGGACCTCCATGGGACATCCTGAGGGCTCTCCCTGCTGGCACCAGGGTGCTGAATCCTGACACTGTCATCGGGTAGCCTCACATGTAGGTGAAGTGGCTGTTCTATGACATCATGTGATTTGGGGGACATAGGAGAGACTCCTCCTCATGCTACCTCACCCAGGGTCCTGCCAAACTGGCTCTTTAAGGTGCCTGAAATTTCACAGTTCATGCTTCATTGTTTTCCCTCAAACCAAAGAGTATGTGCTCACGCACATGTCCCCAGGGAGAGTAGTACATTGACCTGTTAGCAGTCACGTATCCCTTAGTAGAAATGAGTTTGACAATAATTTACACTATAATAATAAATGTAAAAGTCACTTTCTAATCCATAAATTGTCATCTAAATGTTAAATTATTTGGACACATTTAAAATATTTTAATTGAGATATTGACATAATTTGAACAAATTTTGATTGAATAATCACCTCTACCATCATAGCTAATATTTATCAAGTGTTTATTATATGCTAGGTGTTGTGCTAAGATTTCATGACAACAAACCTATATGAAGTCATGCCCTGGCCAGTGTGCTCAGTGGTTAGAGTGTCAGCCTGCACACCAAAGGGTCGTGGGTTTGATTCTTGGTCAAGGGCATGTACCTGGGTTGCAGGTTCCCTCCCACCCCCAGTCGGGGCATGTGTAAGAGGCAACGGATGGATGGGTGTCTCTTTCTCTCTTATTCCTTCCTCCCTTTCACTCTCTCTGAAGAAGCAATGGGAAAATATCCCTGAGTGAGGATTAACAACAACAAAAAAAAAGTCTTGATTATTCCCATTTTACAGGTGAGAAAGATGAGGCACAAAGAAGTTACGTAACTTTCCCCAAATCACTCAGTTAGTGTCTGAGGCAGTCTAGCTCCAGACCCTGCCCTGTGAACCACTCTCCTGCTCAATTACTCTCTTTAAACGTATGGTGGTTGGAGCATATGGGAGAAAGAAGATTTGTGAATCAAGAAAGGTCTAAAGTTATATTTGCGTTATGATACTAACATCTATTACAATATGGACACAATTTCTTATATCAGTTCCTAGCAGAACTCTATTCTGCTTATTGTGGTGTGAACATAAGCATAGTGGAAATAATCAGAACAATATCAACAACAGGTGATATTCACTTTTATCTCCATCATCCTCATGATCTTCACTGTCACTGTCATCATCATCATCGTTGACATCCTTTACTGCGCGTTTACCAGGTTCCCGGAACCGTGTTTATTTTATACAATACCTAAACGATCCCATCTAATCCTCAAAGCAATCTTAGGAGAAGGTATAACCATTCCCACTTCACAGATGAGAAAACTGAGGTTCAGGGATGCTAAGATCATTTAGCCAGAAACATACAGTGGAATTTGAACCTAAGTCTGCCTTCAAAGCTTATGTTCTCAACTACTTCACTATGTCCAAAAGTTTAACGCTACTTAAGAGTCATCTGTGTGCCAGGCTAGTCCTATGTCACTATTTCAAATGATGGCTCGTGGGCCAAATCCAGCCAGCTCCCTTTTCTTGTCAATAAAGTTTTATTGAGGTGCGGCCATGTTCATTCACTTACATACAGATAGTGCCTTTGGCTGCTTTTGTGCTGAAAGGGAGAGTTGAGTGGTTGCAGCAGAGACTGCCTGGCCCACAAAGCCAAACATATTTGCTTTCTGCTCTCTACAGAGAAGTCTGCAGACCCGCCTTACACCGTCCTGCAATGTGCATGTGATCACTCTCACTGTGCAGGTGAACATACTGGAATTCAGAGAGAGCAGGCAATTGGCCTGCCCAACGAGTGAAGTACAAGAACCTACAAAGCACTGAGGCCTAGATGACTCCAGGATGCCTTCATTCCCCTGACGCTTACACAGCCATCATTTTCCTCTTCACCAGTTGAGGGGAGTTCTGTGGCATGTGGTTAATAGAATGGTTTTCAGTGCTCGACACGGTGTTAAAGGGTTGTACGTCTTCTCCTGTCAGAGGGATAGGAAACTCCTCTTACCTTCTGAGGATTTACTGTACTTAATCCCTTGAGGATGGATGCTTAAGGGCTTGTCTGCGTTATTTTTAAAGTGAACTCTCATGATGTCTCCAACTTCAGCATATAAAGTAGGCCCAAGAAGTCCTAGGGAAGCAAAGACAACTATGTCAGGATTACAAAAGACAGAGCTGACACACGCACACACACACACGCACACGCACACACACACACACACCATGCAGAGAATCCCATGAGTGACTGCGGTCAGCCCTCAGGTTCTGAGGTTGACCTGCTTATCTTCCATCTGTAAGGCTTTACCGCCTCATAAGCTCAGCATTGTGTGCAGCCCGCTAAGGACAGGAAGGGAGAAATGCTTGGCTTGGCTCAAAGCAAGCCGAGGAGTAGGAGTGGTCGTTCTCACTGTGTCCCCCAATTCTGACCCACTGTCATTCCTTAGAGACGACCTACCGTCTTTGGTCAAGAAAAGAAAGATGTTCATTATTTATTTATTTACTTATTTTTAGAGAGAATGGAAGGGAGGGGGACAGACTGAGAGAAACATGGATGTGAGAGAAACACATCGATTGGTTGCCTCCTGACTTGGGCTGCAACTGAGGCACATGCCCTTGACTGGAATCGAACCCAAGACCCTTCAGTTCATGGGCCGACCCTCTATTTACAGAGCCAAACAGGCTAGGGCAGATGTTCATTTTCAACTGTCCAGTGTGACATGAGGGAGGGTGACAGGCTACTTTAGAGGGACAAAGTGAAGTGAGGGAGCAAATCACACAGTTCTTGGACAAGTTCAAAGTCTTGGAGGCAGGAGTGAGCTTGATGTTTTCAAAAAACAGTAAACAAACAAAGAAAACAAAACAAACAACCCAGCCTGGGCAGAGTGAGAAGAGACGGTGGGGGCAGGGCCCTTAAGGCTCTATGGTCACAGCAAGGACCTTGGGTTTTCTTCTAAATGAAATGGGAAGTCGAGGCGGCTTTGTGCAGCAGGGAGGTGGGGTCTGATGCATTTTAAAAGTTCATCCTAAAAAAGAAAAAGAAAAAAAACAGGCAAAAAGTTCACCCCCGCTGCTGTGTGGTGACGAGAGTGGAAGCAGGACTTGGCGATAGAGATGAGGCAACAGCACATCGGGCCAGAGAAGCGGTGAGCAGAGGTTGGGCTCTGAATTCTGGAGGCAGAGCCACCAGCACTGCTGACGTGTTGGATGTGGCATGAGAGAGAGAGAATCCAGGATGACCCGAGGCTTCTAATCGGAGCAACTGAGTTAATAATCAGCTACGTCGATGGGAACACAGCAGGACAGTGGGTCGGGTGCAGGAGCTAAGAGAGGTTTCCCTTCCTACACGCCAGGGGCTGTGCCAGGTCCTGTCCTCAAGGAGCCACAGCCCATTGGAGATGGACACAGGTAGCTCTGCTGCTGAGCTACGGGCAGAATGCTGCGGGCAGAGGCTGGAGGACCAGCCCTGTGTTGGGGGGTGAGGAGACAGGACATCTGATCCGAGTCTTGAGGAATCACAGTCTAGAGCTTCCCAAGGTGCAGTCCCCGGGTCCCCTGCAGGATCACCTGGGCCCAGGTTCCCAAGGACCAGCTTAGCCCCAGTGAACGAGTCTCTGCGGGTGGAGTCGGGGCCCTGCCTTTGAGCATGTGCTCCTGCGTGACACCAATGTCCTTGAAAGCTGGAGAACCCGTCACCAGAGCCTTATGTCAACAGGTGGCAGGAATGGACTGCCCCCACTTCCAAGCCACCCACTAGGTCTCGTGGGGTTGGCTTCTGGCCTTTAGGCATCACGGGGGCAGCAGGCAGCAGCGCCATGGAGCTCACCCGCACCCACTGGCAGCGGGGATGGTGCTGATTGCAGGGCTCCACCCACCGTCCCCGCAGGATAGTCACGCATGTACATCCTCACGTTAATCCTCCCGACATGTCTTTAAGGTAGATGGTAAGATCCTCGTTTTACAGAGCAGGAAACTGGGCCTCGGGCGTTCCTCCTGCTTCTGCTTCCCTAGCTTGCCCCCCATGAGCAGAGCTGTGGGCAAAGCAAAACCTGTCTGACTGGATCCTGAGCTTGTAACTACCTCCCATCTCTCATTCATTCATTCATTCATTCATTTGTTCATTCAACAAATAGTAAGTGAGCGCCCACGTTTTCCTGGGCCGGACTTGCAATGCTGAGTAACATAGGTGCCCTCCCTGGCTTCACGGGGCTTACCACGGGAGCAGGGAGGGCGGCTTGCCCAGGGCCAGTCAGTGGTTCGGTGGCATTGCTGGGGCTGACATTCAGGTCTCTGGACTCCTGGACCAACGCTTTCCCTACCACCTTCCCCAGGGCGGGTACAGACCCCCTTTCCTGGAACAGTCTACACTAGTCTTGACTCCTGACCACTCTGACCCCGGCTGACCCCTCTCTTCTGGCTGCTACGCTCAGCCCTAGCTCCCTGCGAAGCTCCGCTGGCTGCTCCCACCTCCAGGATGCCCACGAGGCCCATGTGTGGACTCCGCTCACACTGTCCCTGCATTTCGTTGCCATGGTGGCCTTGCTTGGTTGCTTTGCTTGTTGGCATCTCGTGGCTGCACATACCAGATGCCCAGAATAAGCCTTATAAGTTGTTTAAACTAATGAGACCTCCAACGGCAGTGAATTTATTTGGCCTCCCTTCTGCTTCTTCAGAATTAGGGCAAAACAAAGGAATGTTTTCATCAAGGCAATTCAAATGCCTTCATGCGTGAAGGCAAACACGTCGCCGAATGTTCCTGAGCTGCTGCTGAGCTCCCCTGTCGGCCAGATGCCCTGAAACCTTTCCCACCCCCCTCCCCCGGGCCCAAGTCAAACTGGGGGCCCAGGAAGATAGCACAGCCTGTGCCCAACTTCCTGCAGCTGGGGCCTTGGGAATGGCCACAGGGAGGTCAGCTGACCCACGCCCTGCTCTCAGGTGAAGAACGCATTACAGAAAACATGTCGTCCACCGTTGCAGCTCTTTTAGAACCTTCAGGGACAAACATGTCATAATTTTCTTTGAAAAGGTGCAAAGACTCAAAACTAGCTGTTCAAAAGCACAAGACAGAATTCCTGAAAATGGCCCCAGTCCCTCCCTCCCCCTGTCCACTGGGCAGGCATTGGTCTTCAGACCTCCAGTACTGCATCGGGGTCTGGGCTCCTGCTATGGAGTGGGGTGCATGGCTGTTCCCCTTCAGCCTCAGCTAGAATCACACCCACCTGACGAGTGGAAACAGGGGGAGGTACGAATGGCAGAACTAGGCTGGGAGGGGAAGGTCATGAGTCAAGGGCAGTGTTCAAACCCAGGTCTCCTCATCAGTATCTGAGGCTTTCCCTGGACACCAGATTTGCCTCCTGTATCAACTACTACCAGGATCCAAAGATGAATAAGATGTCATCCCTGCCCTCCAGGGGTTCATAGTTCAGCAACTTTGGGAGTTTAGGAAGAGGCTGCATAAAAATGGATGTTAAAATGCCTCAGAGATCATATAAAACAAATCTGTTTGAGATATACAGAGACAAACAGAAAAATACTGTTTTCAGTGCACAGGGCTTAACCATGAGTCATCTATCAAGGTCTACCTCTAATTGATGAGGCTGGATCAGGAAATCACTACAAAAGTTCATCATCTCCAAGGATTTTGACCACAGTACCCACCTCCCCGCAAACGATCAATGCCTCCTATGGCTTAAAGGATGGTCTCCAGCCTGGCTCTGGTCCATTCTGTCACTCAAGGCACTCGGCCCAATGGCTCACACAGTGTGGCACTCAAGTTCAGTTAACTTGGCAAAAGCCACAAAAGACAGGGCTCTAAACACCCACCCGATTTATTTTTCCCCAGGCCTCATTAATGTTTCCTGGCTCGCTTTCCCTTTACCCACCTATAGTTTAATTTAATTAAAAAGTTCTTAGGTGTGTGTTAAGGTTGGAATTGAGTTATGAACATGAGTCAGCTCCGCGGCAGAGGCTGGGAGAGCCTTGCCCTCCAGCCCAGGGCTACAAACTTAACTTGATGAGTAACCTCGGGCCCCAGGGAAGGCAGTGTGTCTCCTATCTGATCACGCCCTGTTTCTTCTGAGCTTGACTCCGTCCCTCAGAGACTTTATCTGCGCCTTTTCTATTGGATTCTTCCCTGAGCCCTTAGATATTTTAAGTCACTGTGTTCTTTTTTATAAAACTCCAAAATATCCTCCAACCCCTTATTCCCTTTCAGAACCACCCTGTTGCTCCTCCCATGTGGGGCCAAGTTTCAGGAAGGCGTTATCTCTGAGTTCCCCCCAGGAAAGGAGATGGAGTTTCCAGAGAGGAGCATTAACTGTCCTAGGAATGTCAAGTCGGGAAAGACCTGGAAAGAAACCGTTGGCTCTGGCGTCCCCGCAGCCATAGGGGCCTCTTCTGAGAGTCATTCTAGTGGGCTCCCTCAGAGCAGGTTAGAGAGGGAGCGCAGGGAGAGGAAGTGACACCATAGGGAATGAAGTGGGCCCTTCAGATGGCGATTGATAGTGAAGGAGGCGGGAGAGAAAGGACAGTGAAGCAGGGTGGAGGGGAGTTTTGTTCTAGATGAAAGTTAACCTGAACATAGCTGTGTTTTGTTTTATTGCTAATGGGGAAGGCTCCCGTCCAGGAAAGAGGGGAGATAAAGGGAGATCAGAGGAGGCAGGGGAGAGAGGCAGAAGAGTGAGCCTGGGACACAGTGCAGGCCACACTGGTCAGGGAAGGCCCAGTGTGAATCAGTGACCAGGGACCCAACTGGAGGAAGTTCTCGCTTGCTGACTCTGTCATTCCTGTGAAAATATGGTGCCATATTTCAGACCCCAACCCATGCGACCCGCTTTCCTTGGTTAAAGAAGAACTAAGGAAGGAAGAAGAGACTTTTCTTTAAAAATGATAGCTGTTGTGCAGAGCACACTAAATGAAACAGGAGCCGGGAAAGGCAGACGCAGAAGAACCCAGAACAGCCACTTGCAGTTCCTTTGAATGAGTGCAGGGAGCCAGAGGGAGGGAGGACCGTTAGCTCAGGCTCGTCGCACCCTCAGCCTGGGCCGCCTGTCTTGTCCCCGTGGCACCCACAGCACCCACAGCACCCAGAGCAAGGCCCCGCCCAGAGCACGTGCACAGTCACAGCTTGTCAGATGAATGAATAAAAATTCAAACACTTAAAAGGCCTTTTCAGCTTCTTGGTCAAGGTTAAAAACAGCTGGCTCCGTGGGTGTGTGACTTGTGGCCTGTGAAACCACACAGGGCCCAGCTTGCCTCCATTTTTCGCTGTCACTGCTTTGAAATTCTCAATAATGTGAATTTCATTTTCATTTTGCCCTGGGCTTCACAGGTTATGTAGCCTATACTAGTTAAAACAACAAAAACTCACATTCTATAAAATACCACTAAATGGATATTTTTAGATATAGATAATATCAAATTAGAGAATATGTGTTTCATGCTTACCTGAAGTTTTAGATTGTGGTTTTTCTTTATGAAAATATGCTTCATACTCTCTGTAGACAATTTTCTTAAAAGTTGTTGCAAAAGGATTCAAACTGGAAATAAAATACAAAAATTAATTTAAAATGTATGTCTGACATCTACTCACGTTCCAAAGGAAAAAAAAAGGAAAGAAAGAAATCTCTCATGTCCTAGGAGCAATAGTATTTTTAATTATATTTCAGAAACCCATGGTTTTATAAATATGAACAATAAATGACACTGATAACAATAATTGTTGGTCTCTTCAAGAATATTCTGCAGTGATCATCATTCTGTCACAAATTAAGCCTGACCTAACTGATCCTGTTACTCAGAACCAATTTTCTGAAGAAGAACCCAAGATGGTCATGTGAACCCAAACTTCAGGTTTAGAGTTTAAATGATTAAAAAATGATCAAATCTATTATGAATAAATATGTGGGCTATTTTCAGCTGGTCAGTCAAATACAGAGGTAAGCTACTGGGCAACGTTGTGAAGAACTGATTTGGTGGATCCTACTTCTAGTTGAGAAGTTGGCTATGGTAATTGAGTAAAAGCCCTGGATTCACGCTGGGAACAAACAAATGAGGAAACAAACTCTCAGAGAGTTTAAGTAACTTGTCTCTGGATAAGGGGTAGAGCCAAGATTCAGAAAAGGTGGACCCATTGTGTTCCTGGTAAAGAATTCACAGAGGGAGGGAGGAGATTCCTGGGACACTTCATTCCTACCCTCCTCTCAAACTCAAAGATAAAGGTAAAGGGAAGAGGATTAGGGGACATTTCTTAAAATGTCAAACCAGCTGACCAGATTGGCTTTGTCAAGCTTCCTAACCTAGAGACAGTGGCCCAGCCATAGTCAGGGCATACGTGGGAGACCCTCCCCAGCGGCCGACCTCTGCATGTTACAGTGGCTGGACGGACGGGGGAGTCAGAGTGTCTGTGTTTAAACCATGTGGTTATTAACTGTGTAACCTTGAATAGCTTACTAAACCCATTTGTTCTTCCATTGCTACAAATGTGAGATGGGAATAATAGTAAAATCTTCCTCTCAGAATTGTTATGAGTATTAAATAAGTTGCTACCAGCAAAGGACTTAGAGGTAGCTAGTAATAATTTAAAAGTTAATAAAAGTTGGTGCTCAGCCTTCGGGTTTTCCCAGCAAACAGAAAAATCTGTAATTGTAATAATCTTTGTAATTTTTTGTGAGCTATAAGAACTGTGTTAATGTTTGGGGGCAGAATAAGTGCTTTTGGAACGACCAGCTATAGGAAGCAGTGGGTTCACAGTGGAATAGGAACTGGACACTAGGAATATGGGTGCTCAGGGTGTGGGGGGAGCAAGAGGTGAGGACAGGGAAGTTGAAAGTGAACTAAACAACCTCTAGAGTTCTTAGAGCCCAAGGATGTTGATTTTATCCCTAACGTGGAATTCCATTTTTATTTATTTGGTTGTTAGTAAAATTGAAAATTTGTTCCTCCTCCCCATCCCAGATCTCTAAATACAGGAATATAGATGGTGGCGTAAAAGCTCTACTAGGAAAACTCAGTCTTTTATGTGGAGTAAGTTGGATAGATGTGTGTTTTCTAACATATTTGACTGTATATATTGTGTGAGCATACTGAGGCATATTTGTTTTGATTTTGAAAAAGTTGAATGGCTCCTGGAAAATAATCTGGAGATGATAGGAATTCAAATAATATGCATGATGAATATATATGCATTTTTATTTTTATTGATTTCAGAGAGGAAGAAGAAGGAGAGAGAGAAACATCAATGATGAGAGAGAATCATTGATTGGCTGCCTCCTGCACACCCCACACTAGTCCGCAACCCGGGCATGTGCCCTTGACCAGAATTGAACCTGAGACCCTTCATTCCGCAGGCCGACGCTCTATCCACTGAGCCAAAGCAGCTAGGGCTATATATGCATTTTAAAAATATCTGTTACTACGTATATGTAATGACTGAACAAGTTTTCTTAAGGAAATTTCTAGAAACAGTCACTTCAGGCCTGCAGCAAGAATAATAGATATCTTTAACCTCTAAAGGCATTGCTCTGCTAATTTTAGATGAACTAAAGGGAAAGATCTTTGCTTTGTGCTAAAATGGACTTTGGCAAGGGGTGTCAATTTCCTTATAGTATCAGTTAGTTCTCAGTGTAGGACAATTTAGAGCAAGTTCTTAATGTAAGCAGCCAGTTATACAAATTTTCCACAGGAAAGTAAGAGGGAAATGACATGATTTGAGGTTCAATATGGAGCGTTGGTCTGGGTTATCCTTCCGTGCTTTTGATTCAACAGTTGATACCAGAAGAAAGACTCTTCCCAGAATCCTGGGAACTCAGCCTCGGAGCAAGAGGATGGTACGACCAACCGTGGCTCCCTGTGGACTCAACACGTGAATCCGACTTTTGACCTCTGTGGTCCTGCCCCCAGCGTTCAGCATTAACTATGGAAGAAAGACCACGTTTCCAAGCGTAGCACAGCGGCCACAGGAAAGCCAGCAACCAAGTCAGTATTCTCAAGAGCAGGAAAGATCAGTGTTGGAAAGACTTATCTTCCTGGGGGTTTTAGTTAATGGCAGCTCCGTACAGTGTGCGTGGGACTCTGATTATCACCGTGAAATGATATATTTAAGATGATTTGTATTTTTTTTTAAAAAAGAGGGATTTCTTATTACAAGACCAAGAGAATATGTAATACTCTCCAAAATAAACCTTACTAAGGAAATTTTAAAAGGGTTAAGGTTATACACGAAAAGACTGAAAATATTACAATATCTCTTGGTAGATCGCTTTGTAATTGTAAAAGGGGAACATGTCTTTCGCAATCTTTCAAAGTCTGATGTTAAGTTTTTTAAAAAAATGAGCCACACTAAGAGATTTACCATTAAAACAAGTAAAAATATAACCAACTGGAAATATTGAGCAAATCCTGTAATTTGTCTCATTTCTGGGAAGTTTTATTTTTAGCCTTTCAATTGGGAAAAGTGGTTTCTGACTCAAAGATAGAGTTTTATTATTTAAACCTCCTCTTAGCTGCATCTCTGCCTTTTCATAGGGACCCCACTCAAATTGCCAAGATTAAGTGAGGAAAAAAGAATAAAAATGTTGAATTTTTAGGGACTAATGATGCTTTTGAAAGTCATTTATAAGAAAACAACAAAATGAGCAGTCGTTATTGAATAATCTGTGTATAATAAAGCACAAGTTTTAGTTTTAGAAGATGAAGCGATGTAGAGAATGGAATAAATGCAACTAGAAGCTCCATAACAATGCTAGACCACTAAAATTCTAGAACAGGAGTTTGCAGAGGGCTAGCGAGGGGGTGGGTGCCTGGTGCTTTTGAACCAATCAATACATTAAACCAACAATCCAGCATACTAACTAAACTGTGTTATCAGCAAACTTGAAAGAAGCTTCTCGCCAATCAAACTGCATCTTTTCAATATCCTCAGACTCCGAGCAGGATCAGCAAAGGGGACGCTGCGTAAGAAGAGTCCAGTGAGCTCCCACAGAAGCCCAGGGACGCCACCCCTGCCTTACCTGGGGTTTGTGGGCTCCGGGTGGTAGTTCCAGCTGATGCCCTGCGCAGCCACATAGAACTGCCTCAGCCGCGCGGCCTCGGCCCCCGGGGCCCCCCAGCCTGCCCAGCTGGAGCCCAGGACCAGCAGGACCCACAGGCGCGGGCAGCCTGGGGACATGGTTCTTTCCTGCTCCTGCCCTCGGCGCCCCCAGCCAAGCTCTGGCTGCACCGCTCGGCGTCCGTCCGCTGTCCCTGCTGCAGTGAGCTCCGAGGCTGTGGGTGGCAGTGTCCTCCCTGCAGCTTCTGCAGGCACCTCAGCCGCAGCCTCGGGCTGTCCTGCCTCCTGGGCTCTTCCAGGAAGAGGGGTTGGCGAGGTCACTGCCCTAAGAGACAAGAGGAGGACGCCCAGGTTCCTGACTGTTTCAGGACAGGTGAAGAGAGCGCAGAGCGCAGAGGCTCCAGCAGGTGGGGCAGTGCCGGGTGCATACGCCACAGGCAAAACTGATTCCTGCACTTCCAGCCGCTAAGCCAGGCAGCCTGAGCCCTCAGCACCCACCACAGTGGTTCTCAACCTTCCTAGTGCCGCGACCCTTTAATACAGTTCCTCATGGTGTGGTGACCCCCAACCATAACATTATTTTCGTTGCTACTTCATAACTGTAATTTTGCTACTGTTATGAATTGTAATGTAAATATCTGATATGCAGGATGTATTTTCATTGTTACAAATTGAACATAATTAAAGCATAGTGATGAATCACAAAAACAATATGTAATTATATATGTGTTTTCCGATGGTCTTAGGCGACCCCTGTGAAAGGGTCGTTCGACCCCCAAAGGGGTCGTGACCCACAGGTTGAGAACCACTGACCCATCACAAAACTGCCCGGGGCGAAGTTCACTCTCTCCAGACCCTCTGCAGTTCCCAGTGCAATGGGACCAACACCTTTAAGCACAGCACTGTCCTGCCCCGAGGAAAGGGCGTGTGCACTGTGCCTGGGCACAGGGATGTGTCTTCAGCAGGTGAGGAAGCAAGGGGATGAGCACAAGACCGGGGCCCGTCGGCCTGGACCACTGACCGGACTTCTGCCCGAGCACAGATCTGTGTTAACCCTGGTTGTGGCCACTGAAGGCAGCAACAGAGAGGAGGGCCTCATGAGTGTGGCTGGGAGAAACAGTGGGCCAGGTTTCAGTCCCACTCACAAGCTGTGTTGTCTTGGCTGAGTTACTCACCCTCTTTGCAGCTCAGATTTGCCATCTGCCCAATAGGCGAGATAATAACAGTTCCCCGATAGTGTTGTTGGGGGGACAAAAGGACACGGTAACGTGTGTAACTCCTGGCAGTGGGAAGGCACTGAGCACGTGTTCATGATCAGGGCTGTGTTTTTCCTGCCTCCAGAGTCCCTTATGGTTCTGCCGCCTGTCTGTTTTCACTCTGCCTGAAGGTCTTGTTTTGCTATGGATAGAGAATCAGAGAGTTATATTGTCTGAAGCATCATGATGGCTTGTCCCACGTTCCCTGAACCTACGTGCCTCCTAAGCCCCCGCCTTAGGATTCGTCTCAGCAGATTCAATGAACTGTCATGGGCACCTTGCGTGAAGTCGCGATGAAGCCAAGCTCCTCAACGCTTCACCCCCTACACACCGCCCTCTGCCTTTGCCCCTTGTCTGCTATTATTCTATAACATAGAATGCCCGCTCCCTCCACTCTCTAAAGTCCGATCAGAGTTCTGCTGTCGCCTTGGTTCTGGGCTCGAATGGGCCTTTCCATTCTGTGAACTCCTCCAACACTCTTCACATACATGTCATGTTGGTTCCCCTCTATACTTCGGGTGGGTGTCTGCTGTCTCCCCAACTAGGTCAGAAGCTCTTCATGGGCAGGACAGCCCGGTATCTATAATATCAGCTGGGGACCCAACCAGATTCCCCGGGGAGCTTTCAGAAAGTGTAAGCTCTGACTCCAGGGACAGGGCTGATCGGCATGGTCCCGTCAGACTTCGCCTAGTGATTGGCAGTCAGAGGCACTAATGACAGCATATCTGGGAACCTTTCAAAGATCTGTGTCCCTCAACCCCAAGGTTCCTATCAAAATTCTTGCAAAAGTCCTGTGACCTTTGGTTAGACTGTTTCACCATTTTTATTGGCATGTTTGTCTGTGTCATTCAGTCTGCATGGCATGCTCATTGCCTCACAGTCACAGAGGTGAGACAGCTATGTTTGATCAGTTCCAGATAACACTGTGTAACTTTAAACAGCCTGTTTATCAAACCTGTGATTTCTATATATACTGATTTCAGAGAAAGGGAGAAAGAGATAGAAACATCAATGATGAGAGAATCATTGATCAGTTGCTTCCTGCACATCCCCTACTGGGGATCAAGCCCACAACCCAGGCATGTGCCCTTGACAGGAATCAAACCTGGGACCCTTCAGTCCGACACTCTATCCACTGAACCAAACTGGCTAGGACGATCAAACACTTGTAGAATGTGTAAAACACACCCATTCTACCCGAGGACACTCAGGGGATGAAGACTCTTTGTGCTTTTCTGGTTTCCTCCCTGTGGGAAGGTGGTGCGACATAATTGCCGGCTGATGGAAGGGTCCAGTGGTGAAGTTGTTCATTATATTAATGTAAACAAAGTGATGGACACAGACCCTATTGAACAAAACATCAGACACTATAACATGGCCTTTGGGGGAAACCTTTTAATGACACCTTTGAATATGGATCTTTGGGGGAAAGTGACCTTGGAGAGACCATTACAGTGACATGTCCGTCCTGTCCTGGTTCTCGATCGGTTCTCGGTTGGTCGTCTGCAGCCTCTGGTGCCCCTGGAGGCCGCTCTGGATGCCTCTGCAGCAGAGGTCTAGGCGGGTCATAAACACCGCCCTGGGGACCCAGAGGCCTTACAGAAACCCCTCCAGGCAGAGGCGCCGGCTCCTTCCAGAAAGTCCAGGAGGCCTCCCTCCAGTCCAGAACTAAGGAGCCATTCTTCTTTCTCCGCAGTCTGGTCTTCTGGTGGCTCAGAGGCTCCGAGCTTTGGCTCATTAGTATTCTAGTGACAGCCGGCAGAAGCACGCTGCCCGGAGAGGGGGCAGGAAGGGCGATGTGTGGAGAGTCCGTTTCTTCTGCTCTGGTCCAGAGCGGATCTAAAGGAAACGCCTTGTCCTTTCCTCACAAGCATTTACAGAAAACTGCAGCCGGCGCTCCAGTCCGTCAAGTCTCGCAGGAAGCCCGATGTTCAACAATAGCGTCCTCTGAGGTGGAGTGAGGTGGCCAGGAGAGAACAGGTCTCTGAAAATGACCCAAAAGATACTAATTACATTCCCTTTTAAAAAATAAAAGAAAGAAAGCTCTCTTCACATCTGTTCCCCAAGGCCCCATAGAATCTTTCTGGAGGACAGATTTTCTGCCATCGAGGCTACTTTTCTTAGACTCAACTGCTCACTGGGCTGCTTGGGAGAGGCGTGTCAGGCTATTTTCGTTTTCCCAGCAGGCCACGAGGGCATTGTCTCCATAAGAGTTTGTAAAATTTTTCCAGTGGTCAAGACTTCTGGTTCTCAAGCCACAGTGTTAATGTCACTTACGAGTTATTGAAGGGAATGCCATCCATCCTGAAATAAGTGTCACTAGACCGTGTCACCGTGTCACCGTGTGTGTGTGTGTGTGTGTGTGTGTGTGTGAAAATCCTCATATGAACGCTCTTTCTATTGTCATTCTACTGTCATGCCTGTCCCCTATGCCAACACAGTTTCCTTCATGGCTTGAAAATTTACTACATACTTAAAATTTAACTCATGATTGTATAAAGCCAAACTTTAAAATCTTCCCCTTCACCTTACTGTTCTATTTCCTTTATGCCTGGCCAGTGTGGCCCAGAGGTTGAGCATCAACCTATGAACCAGGAGGTCACTGTTCGATTCCTAGTGAGGGCACATGCCCGGGTTGGGGGTTTGATCCCCAATAGGGGGCATGCAGGAGGCAGCCAGTCAATGATTCTCTCTCATCATTATTTCTCCCTCCCCCTTTCTTTCTCTGAAATCAATGAAAATATATTTTTAAAATAAATTAAATAAGTCTTCATTGGTAACTTACCTTAAGGGCTCGGGTCAAATGCAGCATTTGTGAAAACTCCGTATGTCCCCAGGTGGCTAAAGAACAGAAACACAAAGATGACCTGCCACATGGTGCTTAGCCCGTGGCCACAGTCCAGGACATAGTTTCTCCAGACGGAGGGTTACCGCCCACCCCTGGGATTCTGCTTTAAAAGGGAAAGAAGAAACACCAACAGGGCTATCTAGATGCTCCTTAACAGCTCCTTTCATACCCAGGTGCAGCCATTGTTGATGCCTTGGGTGCTGAATGCCTGCTACGCCCCCTACAGGGCTGCAGATTGTTCTTGGTGAGAGGAAATCCTTACAAAATCCCTAGCTTGATACTTGACCCTCAGATCCCCGTAGGAGTGTTTGAGGTGTGGTGGTACTGCCCCCTACAGGCGCTTTTTAATTTTCATAACAATCAAGAGTTCTATTGACATTGGCGGCAGGGACAGGGATGCTGGACCCCTAATATGCACGGACACAAAACAACTGTCCTACGCTCCGTACGACTTTAGAGTATCTACTCTAGGCGATATTCATGCAGGTGGAAAAGTCTCCGAGCCCAGAACTTCACTGCTTCACATAAAAATAAGGTGTTTTGCGTGTGTTGCTTTTTGACATCTTCTAAAATGCAACTGCCTTGTGAGTTGAAGGAAGATTTTAACAGGTTTTCCAGACGTTCTGCCAATCATGCATCACTTATCCATCAGGTTGGCAACGCCTCTGGCTTTTTGAGTCACTGTTACCATCTTCCTGTCAGTTGTCCTCTGTGGCTGTTGCCTTTCTAGTGATTCTACCCGAAGGTGCCTCTGATGACCTCATGGGCTCCACCAGTGCAGTGCCCTGGCTTTAGCCTTTTATTTCTACAGTAACTCACCTTCCCTCCTATTTTTATTTATTCTATAATTAGGGCACTTTCTGACTTTTAAAACATGTGTAGTTAGGATATATTATCTGTGCATTTCGTTTTGTTGCAAGAAAGGGGTGTTATGTATAATCATTCTGACATGTTATGGCGAATTAAAAGGTCAGACTAGAAAAATGAACTCAATCATAAAACAGTTCCATCTTACCTGTGAGGGTTCAGAGGGTCTTTCCCGTCATCTGAAATAAGCAAGAAGACACTCGTGATTGGTTAAAGAGGAAACAAGGTGAGGAGAAAGGTCACCCGTGATGGGAGTTACTGGGGGGAGTCGGTAGGTAGACTGCTTTTCAGGTGACTCATTAAAGGGACCAGTTTCCCTGAGAGGCAGGGCCTACCTGTTTTAGGCTAAATCGAACACCTGACATGTAACTCCAGAGTCCTCTCACCTCTCACCTTTCCCCTCTGCCCTTTCAGTAGCAGCCTCCCCTCCTGGGTCTGGTGCCTGCCCCTTGGTTGGTTGTGGTTGTGGTTGAGACCACTGGTTCTCAAAAACCCATTTCTTTGGCACTCGAGGCCTCTGTCACTCATCCTGTGTCACAATCCCTCAGACTACACTTGGGCAAGTTAATGGCATAAAGAAACCCAATACCAACATAACAGTGGCCGTCTCCCTCTGTGGTAACGTCAGCGATCAAGGGCCTTCTGTCCTAACCTAAACCAGGAACCACGATAGAGGGAACTTAACACAAGGCAGCCGTCCTATCAAAGGAAGTATCTCGTGGCTAACAAAGCTTTAAAGTATCAGGTCAAGTGAAGAACAAGTATATTTATTACACGGCATTACTGAGCCTTTAATGTGATAACGAATTTGCAGGGGAGGGACAGAGTAGGCAGCACTGTCCTGAAATCGACCACAGAATCCTAGGAAGTTTAACATCCAGTCGGTCACATCAAGGGAAAGTCCCCCATCCTCACACATACATGTGTTTATTATTAAAGACACAGGAGGATGAGCCTGCTTGTCCTGCTCCCTGGTCCAGAGGCTTTCCTGGAAATGTCTCTAAACTAAGGAGGAACTTGGGGAAAATGCAGGAAGAGTGTGGTTCCGACGTAGCATGGAGCGTATGTCTGGGTCTCAGGAGCTCTTGTGTCTGTCTGCCTTCTGAGTTGGGTTAAGCAAGCACTGATGCTGCATGGAGAGACTGGGACGCGGGAGGGGGGAAACCTTTGGTTTTTAAACAGTGTTACTCCTTGTCTGTCCCAGAGGAGAGCACTACACAGCCAGCCTCGGGGCCATGGTGGTTTTGTGACGGAGGGGTCATAGAGCAGGGACCAGGTGGTCCTGCCCTGAGCAGGGAAGATTAGGAGCCGGGACTCCCTAATCCCAGGGGGACTCCCTAACTCCAGGAGGACTCCCTAATTCCAGGGGGACTCCCTAACTCCAGGGGGACTCCCTAACTCCAGGGGGACTCCAGCAGGTGCTTTTGACACCTGGCTTCCTCACCTGGCTCTGCACAGTCCCGGCCCCTCTGATGCCCCTGGTCACTCCTGGTCACTTTCCATGAGGAGGGTGAGGAGCCCCATAAGCTTATCCAGAGAGGTGTCTGACCTTAGGGACAGGCTGAGCATTTGGGCCAGGCAGAGGAAGGATGTTCTGACCCTGAAGAAATGGTCCCTCCTCTTATCCCCAGGCCAGAGCTCTTTTTGGTGGGCAGCCTGATCAACACGTTTCCCTTACAGAGTCTCCATCCGCTCTGGTCCCTTCCCGGCTTAAACCCGGCATTAGCTCCACACATGTCCATGCGAACATCCATCTTTTCAGACCGAGGCATGAGCAGGGCGGCTCTTCCTGCCTCCAGCTTCCTTTCTCGCTTCCTCCATGGGCCTCTTGGGGCCGGACGCCCTGCACTGCCGAGCGTAGCACCTCCCCAGCTGCCTCACCTCTAGGTCCTCCCAGATCTTTCCTCCTGGAACTGCTTCTGCTTTTCCCCGGCAAATCCCTCCTATTCATCAACGTTAAGCTGCAAAGAGCCGTTCTGAGCTACCCGGCTGGTTGGGACACCTCCGTTTTGTGTCCCTGTAGCACTCGGGCTGTAACTGTGCCTAACCCAGTCCTGCCCTTCGGTGTGAGCACGGATCTCACTTGCCTATTTCCACTCCTGGATTACACGTCCCTCCGTCCCAGGGACCAGGAGTCAGGGTCCCACCACCTAACACAGTTGGTCAATAGATGACGGGGGCATGAAAGACTAGCGGAGGGGATGAAGGAGAGAAGCGAGACACGATTTCATTTAGTTTTGGTGACAACGGAGGGTGGGTGTTGAAAAGTTCAGATTTCCAAGCCCATGTCCAGTCTCCTTCCCTGAGGATCTGTGCTTTTAGAATGTTATTTATAAAGAGAACTGAGGGCAGTCAGTTCTCAAGGTCATGTTTCCTTCTAATGCAGACGTTCTCACACAGGTGCTGCTGCAGCTGTGGTCCCCCGCCCTCCCCAAACCTCAGGAAAGCGGAAGCGAAGGACAGCCCCCCGCCCCCCAGTTACCTTTCCGTCGGCAACGCCTCCGGAGCAGAGCGAGGAGTGTGCCGCCCATCACCAAGCCTGTTGTGGAGGCCACTGCTCCACCCACGTACGTCAGGGCTTCCTGGACGGTCAGGGGCTCCGCTGCAAGCAAGCGCACACACAGACTTAGGGTGCACTGCGCCAAAGACCGTCCTCCCGGCGGCGCCCAGGAACCTCCCAGGAGGATCACCAGAGGCCCTGGCAGCACTGGCAACCTGGGACTCGTAAAACCACATTTTACCCCCAAGGCTTTAGTATCAAACGCAATTTCCAAAGGAGGCAGGGCAAGGATGGACAAAAAGGAATTAATGGCCACATGGTAGACCCAAGGAATGGAAGTCTGGGCAAATAAAATATACCAGAGTAATTTTTGTTGCAATAAAAAATATAGTTACAGAAAGAAAAAGTCATGACAAGCTGTGGAGAAAAAAAAAGAAGAAGAAAGAAAGATGGTGGTTGGAATAACCCTTAACAGCAGGTGGGGCTTCATTAAGGAGGTCGGTGGAGTCTTCAGTTTTTAGAGGCGTGTGATAATCAAAGGTCCTCTGAGACACGTGAGGAAGCTGCATATAATCACCCCCCGTCTAAAACAATTTGAAGCTTCAAGATGTATTACCTCCCCCAGATTATAAAGCAACAAGAGGAGTCGTTTCATAAATCTGAGCTCTGCAGAAGGAGGGCCGGCTGCCCACACAGAGCGCTGCTTCTGACCCCCTCTGCTCTGCGAAGGCAAGAAGGTGCGGCTTGATTCATTGTGAAACGCTTATCAAATGCAGGGAAAACCCCATGACAGAAAGCGAGACCACTGCCAGACATATAGAGAAGAGCCCGGATTTGGTTATTTTCCACGTCCGCGTGGCTCCTGAAACTATAGGAAGACCTACCTTGGCAGGTGGGCGTGGCCGCTGACCACTGGCCGTCGGGTCCGCATGCTGCTGCCGCCGAGCCATTGAGCGACTGGCCCTCCGGACAGTGGAAGGTGCAGGTGGCGCCATAGCTGAAATGGCCCCAAGGGCTGGAGCAGTTCATCAGCACCGGCTCCTCGGTGTGCAGCTCGGAGCACGGCACAGCTGCCGGAAGGAATGGGGACAACAGTCATGGCGCAGGAAGGGGAGAGAGACCGTGGCTTCGTGTAACCTGGCTGACATTGCCAGAAGGTGAGAGCGAATAGGGAAAGTCGGGGAGGAGACGAGCCCCTCCCGGCACCCGCATCAGCTCTTCCAACATCTCACAGACAGAGACACCCGCTGGGAGGGGCCAGTCAATGAATTAGGGGGCACAGAGTGGCACCCAAGAAACTCCTGCTGAGGGATCGGGCAGCCGGGCCTACAAAACTCCATTTATAAAATCTCGCTTCTCAAAGATGCTATTGTCCTAAACGTTATCATCACTGCCGCTGACAATTAGCTCGCACGTCAGTACGTGCTGTTAGATGTCAAACAGGATGAAAATATTTCACAAGGGTTCAGCATGGCTGGACTCAGGTGTGAAAGAAGTAGAGACTGCCACCCTCTTTAAACTACTTTTCCAGAAACTTCAAGTCATTCACCTTAATTTGTGGACAGGAAGCCAGCGCTCAAGAAATTAAATTTAATGCAGATAAACACCGAGACGTAGCGACGCCGCAGACCGCTGTGCTGTGCTTTGTGCGGAAGACAAAGCAGGAGAGACAACGTTTCATGCACAGCGGCCGCCCTGCCGGGGGCCACGCATGACTGTCTTCTGATTTAGGTGCAAATCGTGGGAATATGGACCGTCTAGCTGTCCCCTCGTCACTAGACCTGAAGCTTGTGTTGCAGCACTCACGGAGCTGGTTACGCTCAGCATGCTTGCTGCTCTAACACGTTTTTGGACGTTGACGAACGTTTCCCCATGAGGAGTCTGAGCGCCAGGGCTTTAGCGTGAGGCGAAAGGACGGGGGGAGGGATGCACTTGCCGCATGCAACTGCCACTTGGGATTGGTGTGAGTTCGTGGAGGAGCAGGCATTCCAAGTGGCCGCTGGGGCTGGACAGGGTTTTGGTAGGCGGGTGCCCTGACTGGCTCAGGGCCCGAGGAATCGGCGTCGGATCGGCTGGCCCTCACTCACCTCTGCAAGCCGGGGTGGCTGCTGTCCACCGTCCCGACCGTCCGCACCGGACAGCAGCCTCTCCCCGGAGCTGGAATCCCGCTTTGCATCGGAAGTGACAGGTGCTATTCAATCCAAAGGCTGCCAGGGGGTGTTGGCAGGACATTGCTCCCTGCCCCGGGGCGACGAGGGCTGGGCAGCGCACCTCTGCCGTGGGCGCCGGCGCTGCACCTGGGAGGACATGTGTGCACTTAGAGAGCATCGCAGACGGACTGTCCTGGGGTTACTGCCTTCCCTCCTTCCATAGAGGAGGCCCAGCAATAGCTCCTAAGGCAGTTCAGGGAAGCCGGTACCATAGGCATGGAAACCAGGTGCAGAGGAGAATTTGCAAGTTCAGGGAAGCTGGTATTCACCGGTATGGAAAATCAGGGGAAGAAGAGAATTTGCAAGTGCTCTTGGAGAGAGAATCCTTCTAGAACAGTGGCTCTCAACCTTCCTAATGCCACGACCCTTTAATACAGTTCCTCATGTTGTGGTGACCCCCAACCATAAAATTATTTTCGTTGCTACTTCATAACTGTAATTTTGCTACTGTTATGAATCGTAATATAAATATCTGATATGCAGGATGTATTTTCATTGTTACAAATTGAACATAATTAAAGCATAGTGATTAATCACAAAAACAATATGTAATTATGTATGTGTTTTCCGATGGTCTTACGCGACCCCTGTGAAAGGGTCGTTCGATCCCCAAAGGGGTCGCGACCCACAGGTTGACAACCGCTGTTCTAGAAGAAACTGGGAGGTTAGTGTCACTGATGTTAACTGAGCAAACCTGGGTGGGGCGGGGCTGGGAGGAGGGGGTAGGGGAAAATGGGGAGATCTATAATATTGTCACCAATAATAAAAAGAATTTAAAGCAGGAGAGTTGGTGTGGGGATACAGGGAATTTAGTAGGAAGCCACATGTGCATGGCTTCGTCGGGAGGTGGGTGGTCCTCGGCCTGAGGTCAGCATGGAGCGTGAGGCGTGAAGGATGCCGCCGGCTTCGTCGCTCACATGGCACGCGGCAGAACACGGCCTCTGCGCTTCAGTTCCTCCACCCCTACTCTCTCCTGGCAAAGCAGGAGACCCACCCACCGACCCCATAAAGCTCTTAGAGAAAGAGGCCAAAATCACGGAGGACAATTTCTGCTTACGAATCAGTATGACTTTTATCAAAATATTAAAAAGGTCCTGTCGCTCCTTATACACTTAGAAAGCCAGTCTGTGTTCCCTGGGCCCTGTTTCATAACAAGAAGTAGGGCTTTAATAATAATAATAATAATAATAATAATAATAATAAATTATGGCTGTTTCCCGGGAAGAGCCATGTGCTTGCTCCTATCGTGGAAGAAGCGTGCAGAGGGGCTGTCCCCGGAAGGTACGCTGTGTTACCTTGGCAGGTTGGAGGAGGTGCTGTCCATCTCCCAGACGCTGTGCACTGAACACTGCTGGACCCCTGCAGCTTAAAGCCCCCTCGGCAGGAGAAGTGGCAGGTGGAGCCGACGTTGAATTCTCCGCGAGTGTCCGAACAGTCCAGGCTCCCCCACTCTGGGGCGAATAATTCTGGACACCTGGTGGCTGGAGAAGCAAATGGAGAACGTCAAAACCTTCACGTTCATTCGGAAGCTTTGCTTTGCACCAATTCCTTCATTCACGCATTCAACAGGTATTTATTGAGCACCTACTATGTGGGGTGTTTGGCTAGGCAGCCGGCATCCTACAGCAAACATGACAGGTCATCTACCACAGGGGCAGCAGGAAGATGGGTGGGCTCACAGCGAGGGGTGGGCAGAAGTCACAAGAGTGAAGCAGTCCCACTCCAGAAGGCACAGTCTCATCCTCTTCTCTGTACACCTTCACCTCCAGAGTCCCCAGGGCCCCCCGGGGTCCCACTGTCCTCTGCCCACGGGTGTGGTCCAGGGCCTCACCCCTGGCCTTCCTCCTGCCAAGACCGCTTCCTCTCAGACACCCTGCCACCTGTTCACACTCGGCGCACCTACCACTGCAGTGACCACCTCTGTCCTCGGGGATCCCGGCTGTTTCTTTATTCCACAGCTCCGGGCCCCGACAGCTCAGAGCCTCCTGGCCAACCTCCATCAACCCTGGGAGTTCCCTGAACGGGCCTCGAGCTTCCTGCCCCTGGCTCTCGCTCACACCACCCGCGTTCCCTTCTGTTTCCCCTGAAAAACCCCACCAGTCCTCGAAGTCCAGCCAAACACAGGCTCTTGGCAGCCGCTGCCGGCCACCGCCGCCGGAGGCCTTCGCCGGGCATAGCATTTCAGAGGGGGTGCTGGCTTTTTAAGCAAAGATGCTAAGCAAAATGAGCCTTTGCTGATGAAAGCATTTCTTTCAGAACAGCCTTGGGTTTAAAGAAAGAACCTAACATGTGTTGCTCAATGATAATCTTGTGTGCGAGAATTTAATGGGGAGAAAGACACAGGACTCAGAGAAATGTGCGACTGCCGTCATTGATAAACCCAATCCTGAAGCAAATGGTTAGTCAATCAAAGTCTCATGTATTCGTCCCCTTGGCAATGCTTATTGAGCCCCACTTGAAACCCTGCTGTGTGAATTGTGGGGCCCACGGGGAGGTGTGGCTTGTGGGTGTTAGACCTTCATTAGAAGGGGAGGGAAGATGACTTCTCATGCGAGCAGGTGCATCCAAACGAGTCAGGGCTGGAGGGCAAACGCAGGGAGGAGGCTGGGCCATGCAGGCAGAGCCACGCCCCAGAGGGCCCAGGGCTCCAACGAAAGAGGAGTCTCTGTGGAACCACTCGGAAATGACCTCTCGCATCGCACTCTGCGAGGGAGACATGACTCTCCTGTCCCCGCTCCTGCTTGCAGGGTGGCCCCGCCCCTCAGAGGTGCCCTGGATGCTGCCAACACCATGCGGACACCAGGGACCTGGGTCAGTGCCGAGGGTTAAAAATTCATGGACTCGGGCGTGCAGGACAAGAAGAGGGGCTGTTTGCTAAGTCTTCAGAGCGAATTTGGAGAATGAGGTGGAAACACAGCTATAAAAGCCTGAGCGAATAGTGATAATTCTGAGCCGTTCCCCCAATCCCCCCCGCCCCCCTTAGCGGAAGCTGCTGTCGAGTTCGGGGTTGGGTCCAGGCCCCGGGCAGGCTGGGCCCGCAGGTGGAAGGCAGATGTCTCTTCTTGTGGATGAACGGGGGGGGGGGGGTTGGGAAGGAGGGGGCAGGCTTCAGAAATTACAGATTTGACAACCATGTCGGTTGCATATGTGATTTAAAACTCGAGTGAGATAATTCTCACAAGGTTTTTTTATTGTTTGGTCTGAGGACAGAATGTGGGAAGACAGAGCTCAAGGTAAGTGTTGATGGAATTAATGAATGAGAAATAAGTGAATGAGTGATGTCCTAATTGTCACCCAGGAATGCTCTGGCGTCCCAGGCGCTTGTCGTGTGTCTTTTTAACAGCAGGTGGCAGCATTTTGTGTCCTTTCACCTGCAGGACTCTTGGCCAGGGAAGAGACCTCGAGGTGACCTTGTCCGCTCCTCTCCGAATGGAGAAACCTGCCCCTAAGGGTGTGACAGGACCTTCTAAAATGGCACGTGATGCCAGAGAGGATGACATGGCTCTTGGGATATTAATCTAGTGCCCATTCCACAAGAAAGAATAAATAGCATCTTAGTGTTTTTCATATAATGCTAACAATGAGTTTCTATCAGCACATTCTCTCATCTGACCACCAGGCACTGCTGTTTCTCAAGTTCACTTCAGCAGCCATAACTGCAGCCTGATGGGTGGCAAAGAGCAAGGTCACAGGCGACGGCCCCAGGTGTGACACCCTGCCCCTGGGGGGCAGTGTGGTGCAGCGTGGAAAACACCAGCCCGGTGGTAGGACCGGACCTGGCTTCAGATGCTGGCACCACACTTCCTGGCGATGTGCCCCTGGCCCGCCCTCTATGCTCTCCAGGCCTCAGTGCCTTCATCTCTAAGATGGGCATAAACGTAGCCGTGTGAAGACCGTTGGGTGGATTGACTGTGGTAATGCCTGTGAAGCAGCCGGCACCGGGTCCACAGCGGCAAATGGCCCCTCTGGCCTCATGATCACTGAGCTCACTGAACAACCAATCGGCACAATGGTACCTTTCGAAAGTAACGTGACCTATGAATTAACAAGTCAGTACGTTTCTGCCTTAGAGTACACTGCATGCCAGATGTTTTGGGGGAAGTCAAAGGCTGGCAAGATCCAGCCCCTGCCTTTGATGGTTCCACTAATTCACTCTCAGTAGGACTGGTGCTTGAATAAATTTTATCAGTGAATGATCAGCTCAATTCAACAGGAATTTGTCACCCCCACCCCCACCCCCACTTTCACTCTGTCTAGTTGCTGCCGGGGCACAGAGATGAAGAAGGAGCAGTGCCTGCCCCAAGGACTGTATATCCACAGAGAAGGAGGGGGGGAGAAGTGAGCGGTAGTCAGGCCCTGAGCTCCTCGGGGGGCGAGATGAAACGATGCCACCCCTGACGTCAGTTCGTCGGGCTCAGCTGTGTTCAGGAAGGTGAACGCAGGAAGGAAGGAGTGAAGAGTGCAATAGAGAAAGGCTGTAAGGGAGGAACATAGAACTGCAGCAAACATCGAATGCCATGCTGACATGAGGATACTTTATAAAACTAAATGTTCAACTGAAGTTAGAGAGAGAGAGAGAGAGAGAGGGAGAGAAGCTGCCTTCGGTCTAGATCAACAGGCTTTGTGGAAAGTGTGTTTCCTTTAGTTTAAGACAGTTTTACATAAATCTCATTCTATGGCTCTGCCCAAGAGAGAAGCCATAGAAAACACAGGTTGGTGATCCTACCTTCACAGGTTGGTGGGGAACCTGTCCAGCGCCCAGATGGAGTGCAATCCAGCCTTTCGGGTCCAGATAAAGAAAACCCCTCGTTGCAGGTGAACCGGCATGTGGACTGATAGCTGGAGTCTCCCAGGGGGCCGACGCAGGCCATCGTTCCGTTCTGCGGGCTTCGCAGAGGCGTGCAGGTGACGGCTGCCAGGGCAAGAGGGGAGGAGAGAGGCTGTTTTAGAACTCTGCAACCCAAAATCTGCACGTGAGAGTGTGTGTGTGTGATTGTGTGTGAGTGTGTAAGTGTGTGTGTGAGTGTGGGTGTGAGTATGAGTGTGGGTGTGAGTGTGGGTGTGGGTGTGAGTGTGTGTGTATGAGTGTGAATGTGTGTGGGTGTGTGTGAGTGTGAGTGAGTGTGAGTGAGTGTGAGTGTCAGTGTGTGAGTGAGTGTGAGTGTGTATTAGTGTGAATGTGTGAGTATGTGTGTGTCCTTAGTACATAAGGGCAGCGTTTGGTGATTGAGAGGGAGCCGTGCTTTGTTGGAAGAGAGCAGCGTGGTCATCTCGGCGGCCCCTGGTCAGGAGCGGAAGCGGCTGCTTCCTGAGCACTTTCTTCAGGAGCTGACCTGCTGACCTTCCCCAGAAACAAGGACAGCGACCGGAAGTAGGAAAATGGGCTGAAGCACTCTCCTCCCCTCCAGCTTCCTGTCCCAGCCAAGAGGTGGACACACTCTGGGCCCAAATCCTGGCTGTTACTCACTAGCAAGGTGTCCCTGGGAAATAAACCTTCTGAGCCTCAGTTGCTCCGTCTATGGAATGGGAAAGTAACAACCCTTGCCTTGCAGGGATAGCAGTTATATGAAGCAAGTTCATTAAAGCACGCATGAAAACGGAATCTAAAAACCATGGACGCACAGGGGGCACTTCATGTAAATGGCCATCTGCAGAAGCTCTCTCCCCAGTCTCATCCTCCAGGGCCAGCCTCCAACGACTCTACCTGTTCACTTGCAAAAGAAAGTAAATAGGATTTCCTGGGGCTTTGCCACAGTTTATACATGTGGAGCTTGAGGTGCTGGGGACTTGCTGGGTTGGAGAGCATGCTCTGTGAGCTTGGGCAAGTCACTTAACCTCTCTGAGCCTCAAAGCTTTACCTTAAAAATGTGGAGAATGGCATTCCATGGGTCCCAGGATTTTCACAAGGGTCAAGGGTGAAAACACTGTATGTGAATGTCACCAGCTGGTGAGGCTATCCCTCTGCCAGTTAGTGAGATGACCAAGTCCAGATGGAGCGTGCTGACGGGAAAGATGAAGACTAAGAGACCGCATGCTCCGGCATCCTTTCCTGTTTGACCCGACTGAGCAGGGGGCGCTATTGAGCAGAGGCAGGGGATGTGCGGCTGCAAGAGGACCCTTCTCCAGCCACCGACCTGAACTGCTTAAAGTTTTGACAACATTTTCTGCACCTTTCTCTTCCCTTCATCCCTTCCCCTCTCAACTACGTTCCCCCTAATCTGATGGACTTATCAAAAAACCTATCTCTTTTCTGCCACTTGAAAAGCCCATTTGCACTCAGGGTGTGTGTGTGCGCGCGCGCGCGCGTGTGTGTGTGTGTGTGTGTGTGTGTGTGTGTGTGTGTGGCGGGGAAGGGGGAGGGAAGCCTGTAAGAACAAACAGGGAGGCCTTGGTGCCAGGGAGCCCATTTCCAGCTCTTCTGTGGCCGAGCCTGTGGCAGCCAGGGTGGGCTCGGGGGTGGGCGGGCATTGAAAAGGGAAATAGATAACAGGCTCTCAAGAAGTATTGCAACAGCTGGCAGATTGCAAGCCTGGGTGCCTTCCTGCCCCGCCCACACGTAGGTATTTCACTGGATGCTCAAGAGGAGAAAGTTCGGTCAGAGTAAACAAGGCACCAAAAGCAGAAGGGACTGGAGGTCACAGGAAGCCGCGGTGCATGCCAGCCTCCTTGCTGCGCCACGCCCACGCGGGACGGTGGGGCAATGAGCTGCAACCCGTGCCCCGGCCGCCCGGGGCTGCCTGGAAGGATCTGATGACCCCCTGCCCCAAAGCCGCCTGGGCTCTGTGCCGCGTCCAGGCTTCCAGGAGGCCAGGACGAGAGCGGAGGCGCAAGCTCTCAGCCTCACCGGGTCTCTCCAGACGCAGCTCAGACTGTGCACCCGCCCGGCTTCTGGGGCTTGTGGTGCTCACTGTGCTGGGGGTGAAGGCCCCAGGCTGCTGAGGGCATTCATTTATTCACTCATTCATTCATTCACTCATTTGTTTACTGTTGCGCTAACAGTGGTGTATGTGTGTGTGTGTGTGTGTGTGTGCACGTGTACGTGTGTGTGACCTGAATAGCAAGTGGTTTCCTCTCCATTAACACCAGATCCGCCTGCTTTCACTCAGACATTGAGAGCTTGTGCAAGGGAAAGGCAAAAGCCAACAACCAGAGTTATCTAGCATTTTACCTGTTTGATTTTATTATGAAAACTTCGGACGCATCATAAAAATACTAATTGCCTGGAGGGAAAAGTGGATGGGGACCGTGTGGAGGAATTCATACAAGAATGCTCACGGTGTCTATTTTAAGGTGGGGGCATTTGAGAGGATTTTTAATGTTTCTCTATTTTCTTATTTTCAGTAGCTTTCATAAATGAAAACATTGCTTTTGAAAAGCAGTACTTGCCATAAATATAACTAAAAATCGATTCCTTAAGTGGAAAAGGACAGGGGAGTGTGAAAAGCATCCGTCTGTGCTTCAGTTCCCAAACACCTGTGATCACACTGTGCTGTGTGTCACACAGGGACAGACACGATGGCTTTGTCTCATATCAAGTCCCACGCAGATGGGCCTGCTGAGGCTGAGTGTGCACTTTTTCATTCTGAGAGTTGCATAACCTTGCGTCTATAGACGAGTTTCTTCCTCTTTCTGTCTCTCACCTTCTCCTACGCTTATCTCTGCAATCTGACACAGAACTGGAAGGTATTGCAGCCAGCACCTGTATATTCTGCCCCTCCCTGCTCCACCCTGATATGACCTGGGCCCCCACCCCCTCCCCTCCGCCATGCCACCAGGAGACTCCATGCACCCTGGGGTAGGTGCCAGTGCAGCCTGGACAGCGGCCTCGGCTGCGTGTGGCCTGTGGCCTTCTCTGCAGATGCTGGTTCAGCCCAGTGAGCACAGTTCCCTGGTGCCGGATCCCAGCCTCAAGGCCTACTGAAGGGCCTGGTAAGCTGCAGGCAGGGCCACCCCATCGCCCACGGCCCAGCGTCCTGCCCTGTGCTGCCCGCCTAGCGCCTCAGGGCACCTGCGCTCCGAGTCACCAGGTTCATGCATCTTCAAGTTGATTTCAACTTTCTGCTGCCAGACATTACCCCCTCTAGAATATCGATCATGCCCAAGAGTGGGAAGGGCCTCCTACCTTGGCACTCGGGGGGTTCGGCGCTCCAGGTCCCAGTGGCCAAGCACCGGAGCTCGCGTGCCCCCACCAGGAGGAAGCCTTCGGCACAGGCGAAGCTGCAGGCGGACTGGTACCTCGAGGTGCCAAAGGGGTGGACGCACTTCACCCGGGCGTGGTTTGGAGCCGGAAGATCCTGGCACTGCAGAGCTAAGGGTGAGGAAGGGAGGGAGTGAGGGAGCGAGGAAACGGCAGCACACAAGTTCTCATCGCTCCCTGCCCCTTGGCCCAAGTTCCTGCCAAGAACAGGGGCTTCTGAATGGGGCGCAGTTAACCTGGAGAGTGAGAAAGTGTCCTGTCATCGCGAGGGGGCTGAGGAAGAGGCAGGGCCGTTGTTAACCGGTTGAGCAATATGTAGCCATACTTTTCAGAATATCATACCTTTGGACCCAAGAATCTATGCTGAGTATGCCATCAACATGCATATCGAAACCTCAGTTCATAGATGGTTTAATCATGGCATTAGCTATAAGAGCAAAATATTGAAAACAAAAATATAAACGAGGCTGAAAATGAATGATGGTGGGTCCATGGGAGGAACGTGGAGGGTCACTACAAAGGGTGTATTTCCCCTTGAACAGAGATGGGAGGTGCCTAACGGTGTGATGTGAAGGGAAGAAGCAGAGCATAAGTTGCCTGCCCTCCTGCAGTGTGGTCTCCGTCATATGAAGCAGATGGTCATAGACCAGCCATGGGCAAACTACTGCCCGCGGGCCGGATCCGGCCCGTTTGAAATGAATAAAACTAAAAAAAAAAAGACCGTACCCTTTTATGTAATGATGTTTACTTTGAATTTATATTAGTTCACACAAACACTCCATCCATGCTTTTGTTCCGGCCCTCCGGTCCAGTTTAAGAACCCATTGTGGCCCTCGAGTCAAAAAGTTTGCCCACCCCTGTCATAGATGGAGAGAACACGTGGACGCTACAGAGGCTAGGTCTCATCTTCATAGCTGGGATAATCACTGTAGTGACCGCAGGGAGGTAGACTAGCGTGCTCCCTGAATGTCACCTGGGTGCTATTGGGAGTGGCAGCCATAGCAGTGGCAGCAGCCGTAACAGATGGTAATAATGCCATTACGCTCTGCACCAGACACAGACCGGACTGTCAGGGCAGGAAACACTGGGAGCTCATCGGGGGTCTGAGACACGTCTCGGAGGCGTGAGAGAATAAATACGCAGCTGTCTCTTCTGGATGACAAGAGTGGCTCCTGCGATGGCTAAGACATGAGCGCGTCCAGGGCTCCCGTGTCTTTGTCTTTCAGGCAGGGACCTGCTGTGCACCCCATGACTCTCCTGCGCCCCCCATATTGGTGCATGGCCATCTCCTCCCCCATGGCCTCTTTTTCTTTCAATTTTTTCATGGTGGTAAAATACACATAAAATAGACTTTACCACTTACCACGAAACCGTTCTTAAGTGTGCGGTTCAGTGGTATTGAGTACATTCCTACTGACCGTAACCACCATCTCCTCAACGATTTTCGTCATCGTGAACTGAAACTCCACACCCGTCACATAGCAACTGCCCACGGCCCCTTCTCCCCGCCCCTGGCAACGGCCACTCTGCCGTGTGTCCACGACCCTGACTACGCTATGACCTCATACAAGGGGACTTTGCAGCATTTGTCCTCCTGTGGTCAGCTTCGCTCACTCAGCACAATGTCCTAGAGCAGGGGTGGGCAAACTTTTTGACTCGAGGGCCACAATGGGTTCTTAAACTGGACCGGAGGGCCGGAACAAAAGCATGGATGGAGTGTTTGTGTGAACTAATATAAATTCAAAGTAAACATCATTACATAAAAGGGTACGGTCTTTTTTTTTTTTTTAGTTTTATTCATTTCAAACGGGCCGGATCCGGCCCGCGGGCCATAGTTTGCCCACGGCTGTCCTAGAGGTTTGTTCACGGTGTGGCATATGTCTGAATCTCCTCCTTTTGAAGACTGAATAATATTCCATTGCATGTTTATGCCACATTTTGTTTATCTATTCGTCTGCTGATGGGCACGTGGGTGGCTTCCCCATTTTAACTATTATGAATAATGTGCTATGTACATGGGTGTGCAAACCTCTTTTCAAGATTCTGATTTCGAACCACTGCCTATTTCTAAGTCAGACTCAGGGATTGACATAAATTGCCCAGAGCTCCCAGCACCTGCCTTTGCAAAGCGCTCAGCAGCTTTAAGCTTGCTTTACACACACTAACTCACGACCACTGGTAAGGCAGGTAGGCCAGGCAGAGAGCAGCACCCCCATGTTACCGAAGACGCTGAGCCTCAGAGAGACCAAAGCTCGTTGGCAGGAAATGACCGAACTAGACTGAATGCCTCGTCCTTTATCCTTCTGCCATCCCATGCCCTTCCTCAGGCACCATCCCTGCCTCCCAGCTCCGTCTCCTTCACGCCCGCCCACCCACACGTGTCAATCCATGCAGCCCGACTTTAGTACAAAATGCGGTGATGACCACGTTGTGCCTGAGCCTGGCTTTGCTCCCATTTCCTCCCTAGGGTCCAGCACAGAGGGCTCGGCATCTAGTAGGTTCTTTGCGACTGTCTGATGAATAAATGAATGGCAGTGCAGATGCTAAATCAGATGCTGATGCCTTTAAGAGGCTGAGGGACCCCGAGGGATGCTGCCATGTCTCCGTACCTTGACAGAGCGGGGCCGGCGCTGTCCACTGTCCCGTGTCGGTGCACCGGACTGTGTCCGCTCCATGCAGCTCGAACCCCTCGGCACAGCGGAAGCGGCAGGTGGCGTTGTACGGCCATGCCCTCGAGGACGGGGAGCAGTCCACGCTGCCGTGGGCGGGGCGCTCCGGGGGCTGGCACGCGATGGCTGAAGGGAGAGCGTTAGGTCTGCAGCTGGTCATGGAAGGTTCTTCTCAGAAGAGCCCTCCAGAGACGCTGCATCTTTCTACCCATGTTGTCAGGGTGTTCAGAACCTCAATCCTCCCTTTCCAAAGGGAAACTGCCCAGAACACCTCCCTGGCCTCCTTGCGTGGCCACTCCCCTGCCCTTCAGGTCTCAGCCGAGACCTCACTTCCCTTAAGAACCTCTCTGCCCACCAAGGGGTCGGAGCTGCTCCCACAGCCCCCGGTCCTGCTGTTCGCGCAGGACTGTAACTCTGCCCCTCAGAGCGCAGCCCCCTGAGGCCGGAGTCTGTCCTTCATAGTGTAGCTCAGAGCCTGGCAGTGTCGGGTAGGTCAAGGGCGCCCTTGAAGTATTTGCTGGCGTTACTTGCGGAAGAGGAAGCACAGAGCAGGCTGGACTTTTAGGGAAAAGCTTACTGCTGACTCTATTATCCAGCCCCGTAAAGAGGTCCTGAGGGGCTGGGCCTCCAGACACAGGAAGCCATCCTATGGGATCTCAGCCGCCAAGTGCAGCCCGCCGGGTCCCTGAGCGCAGTCTAGCCCGGAGACCTCGGATCTGAGAGGCTGGCTTCCCCGCGCCCTTCCTCCCCCAGGCGGTTCCATCTCCAGCTGGTCCTGTGTGTCTGGGTCTTTTTCAGATTAAAGACCACCCTCACCCTGGGCTTGGACTTCTGGCCATCACAGAATTGGAGCATTTGCGAACCAAAGATCCTCTCATGTTTTTCACTTTACCCATGAGAAGAGTGAGGCTCACCAAGTTGAAGTGACTTCCCTATGGGCTCATGTCCTATGGGCTCATGTCCGGATAGTAGCAGAGCCGGCCGTCCTCTGGGCATCCTGGGAATCACTAGCCAGTTTTAACTTCCTGCTACCCTGCCCTGCCTTGCCGCCTGGCGACCGGGGGTGAGGCTGGTGCACGGATTCAGCCCTGTGTGTTACTGCCCAGTGCTGCTCATCTGTCCAAGGCCACCTCCGTGCCCTGACAGTCTGACTCCCTGTCAAGCACGGGGCAGTGTCCCACAGCCTGTAGGCCAGAGGGTGGGAGGGGAAAGAGAGGCAGACACTGAGGTGGACCGCGTGCCCAGGCACTGACACACGCCATGTAGCTGTCTGCTTCTGTAGACTTCATCCTCACAGAGCCCCTCGCAAATCTGAGCTCAACCCACAGATGCGAGACCCTGCCTCCTAGAGGCTGACCACTTGCCCAGCATCGGAGCCCAGAGGCCATGCTGGTGGTAAGAGGCCTGATCAGCCCACTGGCCACAGCTCCTTCCTGCTGGACGGGCTGCTGCAGGGGCATCCTACCCTCCCCGCTGCAGGCTGTGCCCACTGTGCCACAGCTTCTTCCTGGTGCATAGAGTTCAGGGGCCTCCTACCCTCCCTGCTGCAGGGCTGTGCCCACTGTGCCACAGCTCCTTCCTGGTGCATAGAGTTCAGGGGCATCCTACCCTCCCCGCTGCAGGGCTGCGGCTCACTGGCTGGGCCAGTGCAGCAAATGTGCCGGCCCCTCAATGGACAGCCTGTCAGCCTTGAATTTACAGGTGGAATCATATGCACAGGCAGCAGGGGAGGAACACAGCTGGCTCATGTGTGGGGGGTTCTGGGAGCTGACAGTGCCCCGCTAGAGAGAACAACCGGGGACAGAGAGAAGATCTGATGGGGAGAGACCACTCTCACAGCTGCAGGGCAATGGTGGAAGCACCTGAAGACCTGGGGGCACAAAGCTGTAAGGTCGGGAGCCTGGGAGTGCCAGTCCTCAGGACTACAGGCTCCTCCCAGGTCCGCTCCCACTTCCCTCGACCTTAGAAACCTGCCTCACCCTCCCTACTGTGTGAAATGTCTGCACCTGCTTGAGAGCTGGGAGCTGGGGGAGGGAGACTCACATTCTCTTTCTAGTAAAATTGGCCTCTTAGGCTCCTAGAGACACTCTCTTCCTACCCAGATGCCCCAGGTGCTGAGAGGAAGGGAGAGGAGAGTCAGGCTGCAGCCATGCAGGCAGCTTCTCCACCTCTGACCAGTCACCTGCACGCCCCGTGGAGGAGGGGGCAGTGGGCCTTGAACATGCCTGCTGCCTGGAGCTCACCTTCGCACACAGGGGCCGAGGCCGTCCATGCCCCCGAGGACGTGCACCGCACCAGCTCTGGCCCCACCAGCACAGACCCCTCCTCACAGGCGAAGCTGCAGCTGGCCTGGTGCGGCGGTCCCTCTGCGCCGTGCAGGCAGCTCATGCGTCCTCGCTCCGGAGGCTTCAGGGGTGGGCACAGGATGGCTAAAAACAACCACGGGCAGCGTGTGAGCAGCGGGAAGCCCAGGTCACTGCAGCAGCTTCCTACTTCCCCAGGTGGGGGCATCTGTCTCCCTGAGTCACGGGCAACTGTCTCCCCAAAAGGCAGGCAGGGTGGGGACTGGGGCTTAGAGAGCACTTTCAGTAGCTGTGTGGAAAGAGCCAGACACCCTTATGTTCCCTTTTTTTTTTTTTAGAGAAGCAACCTCCCCAGGTGGTGGGTGTGCATCTACCTCCCCAGGTGGCGGGTGTGCATCCGCCTTCCCAGGTGGTAGGTGTGCATCTGCCTTCCCAGGTGGCGGGTATGCAGCTGCCTCCCCAGGTGGCGGGTGTGCAGCTGCCTCCCCAGGTGGCGGGTGTGCAGCTGCCTCCCCAGGTGGCGGGTGTGCAGCTGCCTCCCCAGGTGGCGGGTGTGCATCCGCCTTCCCAGGTGGTAGGTGTGCATCTGCCTTCCCAGGTGGCGGGTATGCAGCTGCCTCCCCAGGTGGCGGGTGTGCAGCTGCCTCCCCAGGTGGCGGGTGTGCAGCTGCCTCCCCAGGTGGTGGGTGTGCAGCTGTCTCCCCAAGCGTCAGGCAGCTCGGGGACTCGGGGCTTAGAGGGCACTTTCAGTAGCTGTGTGGAAAGAGCCAAACACCCTTATTTTCCTTTTTTTTTTTAGGGAAGCAAAAAAAAAAAGATCAGATTAATAATACTCACTCCCTAAGTCCTCCTTATTGTACTCTGTCCACTTTGCAATTAACAACGGGAGACAGGCCCCTGTGTAGTGCTTTTGCCTGAGAACCCAGACTTAAGCTGACTATCTCACTGGACAGACACAAACCATGACAATCATGGTTGATGAGTGACAGCACCAACCAGAACCTACATCCACTGCAGGCCGCGTTCTTTACCAGGCTGTGTGATGGAGAAAGCTCCTCCTCCCCTCGAAGTTCCCCTTGTCAGTGAGGGTGGAAGGAATGGGGTCCACGCACCTACACACTGTGGGGGCTTATTCGTCCAGGTTCCCGAGGCCAAGCACTCCAGCTCGCGGGGCCCGTCCAGCGTGTAGCCTTCGGCGCAGTGGAAGCTGCACCGGGAGTTGAAAGAGAAGCTGCCCAGCGGGTGGCTGCAGTCCATGAGCACACGCGGAGGGGGCTCCAGGCCCCCGCACTCCCTCACTGTGGGGACAAAATTCCAGGTTTCCATCGCAAGCTAACGACAAGGCCGCGCTTTCTGTTTGCACAACCCTCTACCCTGTCCCCCAGGCTTCCCACCCAGCCTGGTGCTCCTGTGTGGGCTGCATCCAGGGAAATACTCACTCTTCGCCTTCGTTTTGCTTCCCTTTAACCTTTTGAGATTTTATGACAAACTAGAGGCCTGGTGCACGAATTCATGCACCAGTGGAGTCCCTTGGCCTGGCCTGTGGGATCGGGCCAAAACCAGCTCTCCGACATCCCCCAAGGGGTCCCAGATTGCTAGAGGGCACATGCCAGGCCGAGCGAGGGACCTCACTGGTGCCTGATCGGGGCCAGGGAGAGATACGAGAGGTTGGCCAGCTGGGTGGGACAGTGGGAGTGCACTAGAGCGTGTCCAGCCCTTCTAGCTCAGTCTGATTGGCCAGACCCCAGCAGCAAGCTAACCTACAGGTTAAAGTGTCTGCCCCTTAGTGGTCAGTGCACATCAGAGTGAGTGGTTGAGCGGCCTTAGCATATCATTAGCATATTACGCTTTGATTGGTTGAATGGCCGACTGGACAACTGAACACTTGGCATATTAGGCTTTTATTATATAGGATGTTCTCCCCACGGATACAGTATTTTTAACCCAGAGTGTGTGTCTCGGGGAGCCTGAGTCGGGCAGAGGGACAGATGGTAGAGAAAGCACAAGCCCATGACCACAATGTGGATAAAACGGGGCCTCACCGTATTCACATTCTGGTCCGTAGAACCCCGGGTGGCAGGAGCAGGTGTAGTTCCCAATGGTCTCCACGCACTCCCCTTGCTGGCTGCAGGACGTGTCCTGGCAGGAGGCTGCAGGGACAGAGGGGTCAGAGTGTGGAGAAAAGCAGGATCCTTGCTCCAGGCCACAGCCTCTCGGAGGAGACTGCTTTGGCGAGAGGGCACTGCGCCTCGGGCCCCGGGAGAGCAGTCTGTTTCCCGGAGAGGGTGCCACGTGGCTCCAGTACAGGCTGCGTTTCATGTGGACACAGCAGGACAAAGGAAGCCACAGAGAGAAGGGTGGGCAGAAGCTCCTCCGTGTGCTACCGAACAGCTCGTGGCTTTCCAGCCAGCGGCACTCAGAGCGCCATGTTCATCCGGAACCTCTGACAGATGTCACGGCACGGGGCTGGGAACCACATGGAGTCACACGTATGACCTCAGTCCTGGCTCTGCTGCCTACCGGTGGCCTTCCTGTGACCTCAGGCAAGTTCCTGCTCGGAACCCAACCTGCCCATCTCTTCCATCTTTTGCCCATTTCAAATCTATGCCCAGTACCACATGGTGAAGGAGCTGAGGAGCCATGGGAGTCGTTCCAGCCCTGCTCCTGGTCAAGGGCAGACAGTTTTATGAGCAGCTGTTTCGCAGGTCTAACTAGCCGGGAATGGGCGGTGCAGAGCCAGCTAACCCGCCAGCCTCCTCACTGAGTCTGTGCCCCGGGTGGCGGACGGAGAAGCGCCAGCGTCGCTTTCCCGCAGGAGGCTCTGCAAGGCGTGTGCCCTGCATGGTAGGTGAAGGGTTACTGGTCTAACTGATGCCATCAGAGTGCTGAGAATGTTTTCATTCCTGTTTTTATTGATGAGGTCAGAGCCGGGCACGGTCTGTTGGTAGAGGAAACCCAACCCTAACCGGTTTGGCTCAGTGGATAGAGAGTCAGCCTGCGGACTCAAGGGTCTCAGATTCGATTCTGGTCAAGGGCATGTACCTTGGTTGCGGGCACATCCCCAGTGGGGAGGGAGCAGGAGGCAGCTGATCAATGTTTCTCTCTCATCAATGTTCCTAATTCTCTATCCCACTCCCTTCCTCTCTGTAAAAAATCAATAAAATATATTTTTTTAAAAAGAGGAAACCCATAGGTCACATCGAGCACTATGCGAGATGATCTCTATGTTTCCGCTCCACTCTCAGATGCTCTAAGTCTAGGAGCCATGCAAGGTTCTGCAGGAGTTCCCATGACAACCAGAGAGTTCGGTGACGCTGCACTGAGGCACTGGGAAGGGTTCAAAGTGAAGAGAAGGTGAAGGAGGCAGCAGTAGCTGGTAGAGGAGGCGTGGTACTCGCTCTCCCTCCTGCTCACCTGGGCCCACCAGGGCCTCCAGGAGCAATGCCTGCGCCTGGTGCTCACAGAGCACACAGCTTCATTCTGACTGTGGCTCCTCAGGCTCTCCGAGCTCTAGGGATGAGAAAACAGCCACTGTTCTGTATCTAGTCCACTCCAGGGTCTCCATCCAGTTAGCAACGTCTCTATTCCCTTGGAATTCCAGGAAAGACATTAATGACAAATCAATGACTCAATCTTCTTTTGCAAGCCTGTTCTGAGGTCTGACAAATCCTGACATTTATGGAATCATTCAAACTTAATTTCTTGTTGCAGTTTACATGTCTGTTCCTCATCCATCGCCTACAGGGAGCTGATGGTTCCCTACGCCCTTTTCACTGTGATGGCAAAATGCCCGCTCGTGGTAGTGGAGACGAAAGCCAACTGCACGCGGGTGAAATGGTGCCAGTCAGTGATGCTCGCCAGTGTTGCAGGGCACAGGGCTGGCAACACTCATGCCAGGGATGTTCAATCTCTTTCCAGTCCTGTAATTGTCTGCACCCTTTACTGGAAAAGACGGCCCAGCAGACATGGGTGCTGGAGGTTGGGAGGGGAGTGGGAACCATGGCATATCGGAACATCCAGTGGCAGCCACGGGGACCTCTGGGGACAGGTAAGTTCCCTCAGCAGGGAGCAGACTGGGAGAGCAGGTGCATGAGGAATATTCTGCAATGTCCGTCCTGGCCTTTGAAGACTAGCTCGTTAGCTAATGAATTTAGTTAATAACAAATAAATTATTTATAAAATGGGACCTGACTACATGACAATGCATTTATGCATATGTTTTCCCTCAGCTAGGAGGCTTGGGTGAGGAGAGGGAGAAAGTGGAGGGAATAGTATTGTTAATGCTGTTCCTATTGCTGAGGGCTTCTAGGGGGAGGTGTTTATAATCTAAAGAAATGAGAAATACACTGCACAATGTGGCATCTGTAAGATGGCTTATTAAGGGAGGAGCTTCAGAATGCACAGGGCTCTCCTGCTCCAGGTGGTGGGCCCCTTCCCTGGGCACTCCCTCCCATGTGCCCAGGTGCCAGGGCAGGAGGGGCCCCCCAGAGGGCAGCCACCCAGAAAGATGGTGCCAGTCCTGGCACTGGGCACCTGGATCTGGGAAGACCAAGCTTTGGTGCATGTCTGCTTAGTCTGGAACTGGGAGAGTGAGAACCAAATACGCTCACAGGATCTCACCTTCAGTCACCTCTTTCCTGACCCCCCACCCCACCAAAGCCCACCGACCTGAAGATATGTTATCATTGAGGGGAATCTATAAAGCGCCTATCACCTGGGTCACGTTCTCAGATTGTCTCGTGAGAATGCAGAGCAGAGTGTGGGCGCCTATGCGGCTGAAACGACAGCTCTGAAGTCAGCACAGGTCAAGCCGGCTCCAGCATCGGGGGCTTAGAACCCGGGGCAGGTCCCTTCATGGCTCCAGGCCGTTCCTCATCAGCAAATGAGAGGAATGGAAGGATGCGTTGAAGAGTCTCATGGGGACTAAATGCCACCGACAGGAAATGGCCTCATGACCTAGTAACTCTGCCTGGAACATACTGATGTCCAGCGGTGTCTCTGGGGCAGGGCCGAGTTCCCTCTCAGCTTACACTCTCTTCCTCTAGGCCAGTGGTCGGCACACTCATTAGTCAACAGAGCCAAATATTAACAGTAAAACAATTGAAATTTCTTTTGAGAGCCAAATGTTTTAAACTTAAGCTATATAGGTAGGTACATTGTTATTAACTTAATTAGGGTACTCCTAAGGCTTAGGAAGAGCCACACTCAAGGGGCCAAAGAGCCACATGTGGCTTGCGAGCCGCAGTTTGCCAACCACAGCGCTAGGGCACAGCGTGCAAAAGCTCTGGGCCTGCGTTGTAGAGACTACAGCTTCCTGGGCGCCTGGTCCAGTAGCTACTCAATGAGAAGGGTGGCCGGATGAGAGTCAAACTCCCTTCTGGTTTCAAAAGTCCAGTTCTCTCTCATCCGGGTCTTCTGTTCTCCCAGGTGCTCAGTGATGCTGCTTGATTGGCAGTCTACTCTGTTTCACGTCCCTGACTCTGACTCCATGGTACCGACCCAGTGGCTGTAGTCTCAAACCAGGGACGGCGTTTTTATTAAACACACAAGTTGGGAGTAGAGAAGACCTACCTGTGTAGCACAGCGGCCGCTTCTTCCTCCAGCACGGCTCGTCGTTCCACCTGCCGGGGGCCGACGGGCTCTTGATGTAAATCTCCACGCAGTCCTGGTTGTTCTTCTTGTTGTTGGGCTCGTGGTCGGCCCAGTTCTCAGCCTCCTCGGTGAGCGTCTTATTGGTTCCCACCCAGGTCCATTTATTATTGATCTTCCGGATCCCAATCCAGTAGTAATGGCTGTAGTAAGGAATGACGTCATTGAGGTAAGCAATTTCATCTTTATTCTGGATGGCCACGAGATCGGTGTAGTACTTCTGGCAGAATGTCCGGGAGGCATTCCACGAGTAGGCTTTGCTGCTGATATGATAGGTCCACGCTGCCACCTCTGTCTGGTTCATTAGTTCTACGGGAAGGAGAGGGAATGTCGGTTAGTCGGCGTTTCTAGCCGGAGGGGCGTGAGCATGAGCACAGCTCTGTGGAGCTGGATGAGTTTCTGACCAGAGGACCAGTGCCCCAAACATGACTCTTTATGTCTAATCTGGTCGTTTTAGGGAAAGAGTGGTTTCCATCTTTCACTTAAAAGTGCGCATGAAGCCACAATAGAAAAATGCCCTCGTGGGGTCATAAGATACCAGAATCAGAAGGGACCTTAGAAGTCATCTAATCGCCTCCTTCTGTAAGTGGAGGGGGCCTGGCAAGTCATTTGCCAAGTTCACATTAAATGACACGTGAAAGGTCTGGGTGGCAGCCTCGGATCTGCAGATCCCAGCTGCTCACATGGAAGCTAAGATGCGTCAGGCCCCGGAGCCTGCCTGCTGGCCCCACTCCTCGCCCACCACATTTAATTTCTTAGCCAAACAGAACCCCCACTTCCAGGCCTTGGCACCTGCTCTTCCTGCTGCCCGGGCTGCCGCCCACCTGTGCCTGCTAGGCTCCCCCTCAGGCTTTCTGTGACGCCCAGGTAGGCTTGGTGCTTCCCTCCGGCCCCCACTGCCTCCCCTCCGCCTCCGCTGCCCTGTTGCTGTGTGCTGTAGTGTCTGTTTCTCCGACCGGGTCCACACCTGTGGAGTGTGAATCGGATGGTGGTCTCTTTGGAGCTCTGGCTCCTTTACCGCAAGCATAGAGCTTGGGCCTTACCAGGCTCGGTAAGTACTGGCTGTGAAACCCCAGGCTGGGGCAGCGGCGGGTTAGACGTCAGGCCTGGCTTGCAGTCGTACACGCATCCCACTGCTCGCGGCTGTTTCTCTTTGATAAATTACTTCCTCCGTCTCTGCTTACTCACTTGTGAAAGTTTAAAATGGGCCTTTGAAAGAATTGTTGGTGATGTCAAATGAAATAAAGAATGTGCCCTTCGAGCGCATGAAGGGCACGCATGACGGTGCAGTGTTATCACAGCCAGCGGAGCGCAGCGAGCAGGGGCCGTTCCCGTGCGGAGTGGTGGACATCAGCAATCAGGCCTGGAAACGGCTCCCTTTCCTGTTTATAAAGTCTTCTTCCTACTCAACCAACTCTGCTGCCGCGTGAGGCTGTTGGTAGCCCTCCCTCCCTGACACCTTTGCTGATTGTTCTGCCACAAGACTTTGTTCTGCGATTGCCAGGGCTGCGTTATGACTTCCACCAGCTCCAGGGAACTCTGCCCTTGTGGGCCCCTTTGTCCATAATGTTTATTAAAAACTACATTTTAGCCCAGCTGGCGTGGTTCAGGTTGAGCATGGTCCTATGAACCAGGAGGTCACGGTTTGATTCCAGGTCAGGGCACATGCCCGGTTGTGGGCTCGATCCCTAGTGGGGGGGGGGGGGTGGTGTAGGAGGCAGCTGATCAATGATTCTCTCTCATCATTGATGTTGCTACCTCTTTCTCCCTCTCCCTTCCTCTCTGAAATCAATAAAAATATATTTTTAAAAACAAAAAAACCATATTTTACAACTGCATTGGCATAAAGATGAACCTATTAATATTGTATCCTATAAACTTTTTCTTTGACCTACTAGTAGAAGGAAATATTTTTTAAAGAAATTGTGGGTATGTCAGAGTAATGTGGGCCTGGGCCTCTTGTGCTGGATGGATGGGGAACTTGGTCCCGGACGGATCATTCCAGTTCTTCCTGAAGCCTTGTCTAGCAGTGGGATGGTGGTGGGTGCATTTTTCCTTCCAGGAATCTGGGCTAGGACAGCTCCCCATCCTCACCACAACCGGCTTCCATCCCTCATTTCTCCCACTTGGAGAAGTTACCCTAACCACTCGGGGCCACATGCAGGGTTAGCAGAAAGGTTACCTGAGAGCAGGGCACCGAGGCGAAGGAGCTGGGCGGCTATGAAGACCACGCCCCGAGACCTCCAGTTCCAGGTGGCGCTTGGGCAGCGAGCCTGAAATGGGAAAAGAGAGCGTCCTCTCAGTGCGCATGTGCACTCCAGTCCAGAACCGTTATGCTGGGTTGCCATCCTGCCCGTTTCCACTAAGGGGGTGGCCAAGCCCTCTCCCCACTTCCTGTTTCTCGCTGCTCTGCATCTGAGTCCCACCTGGCTGGACTCCACACCAATGCCGTGTCGTTTCTCCCTTCATTCGAAGCATATGTATTGAGTAACTATTTCATGCTATTTATATTTTTCTTCTATAATACGTTTTGTAATGTGATTGTAAAAAAAACAGTCATTATTATTTTGCAATAATCTCCCTTTAGGAACTGGTGTGCCGCACCCAAGGATAATGGGAAGTCACACGAAAAGGGCCTGATCCACACTGTGGACTGTGAGCACCGTGGTGCTGGGCTGGGCTGTGGCTTATAGGCCCACGTTTGGCCTTCCTGCTTGGCCATTTCAGCATGCATCACAATACCGTCCAGTGCTCCATAGACATGCATGTGTCTACTCGGATATATTGCTCTCCCCTTGGATCTGTAGCCTGTATTGTTTTCTATGAGTTCCTTCTGTTGTGTGTGTCACACGCACTATTGACCACAGTCTGACTAGATAGTGGGGCAGACATAACTCAAATCAGGGCAAGTCTCCCAGGCAGTGGGTTATGGTTGTATAAGAAGCCTGGCACTTTTCCATCTTGGAGTTCCTGAATATTGGCTTTGGGACCAGGGAGGGAAGACGGGGATCTCCCCCTCATCCAAACCCTTCACATGGATCCTATTGACTGCACCTTGTGACGAGATACCCGGCCATTCTCCAGATTTCCACTTCACCCTACAGCACTGCCTTAGATGCTACCCCTTCTCTCCGGGACCGGCACACTCATCTGCTAATCCCTCGCCTCTCCTCAAGATTGCCCGTCTCCCACCTTCCTCTAGTGTGCAGTCAGCATGATATTCCTATGCAAGCATCAGGTTGCATTGCTTCACTACGTACAACCTACCAGCTGGCCCTGCTCCCTGGGCAGTCCATCCACTGTCAAGATGACACACCCGAGTCCTTTAAGACGGGACCTCCCCTATTTGTCTAGTCCAGCATTTCTCCACTGGTGTGCTGCAAGGATTTTTAAAACAGACAATACCTGGCTACTTAGTCAGGGGCACTGCCTCTTTTCTCTTATTTTGTCAATTTAAAAAATGACAACAGCCAACACTACAATAGCCGTCCACTATGCATGATTCAAAATTATACCTATTTTTGCCCTAGCTAGTTTAGCTCAGTGGATAGAGTGTTGGCCTGCAGACTGAAGGGTCCTAGGTTTGATTCTGGTCAAGGGCACATGCCTGGGTTTCGGGCTTGATCACCAATGTGGGGTGTGCAGGAAGCAGCGGATCAGTGATTCTCTCTCATCATTGATGTTTCTATCTCTCTCCCCCTCTCCCTTCCTCTCTGAAATCAATAAAAATATATAAAATACATTTTTAAAATTATACCTATTTTTTGTCAGATTGGCAAAAAATATGTATATATTTTGGTGTGCCTCCGAATTTCAGCAATTAGTCTATGTGTGCCAGGAGGCAAAAGGGTGGAAAATCGCTGGTCTAGTCTCAGCTCCTAATATGACCCCTCCATCGAACCCCCCAACAATGAAGTCACAACACAACGTCGTGTAGTTGCCTGGATGTACTGAATGTTCTCTGTGTCCTCGAGCCCAGAGCACCCCTCCTCCCATGTGTGCCTCGCTCTGCAAGTCCACACACCTCCTCCGAGGAGCGCCCGTCCCCACGCCCGTCCTCCCACACCAGGATCAGAGCTCCCTCCCCGCCTGGGCTTTTCCCACCGAGCACTTCAATGACTGCTGATTTATTACGTGCGATGATGTGTCAGCCTTTGTTCAAGGCACTGGTGTTAACATGATAAAAACAGACGTAATTCCTGTCCTAATGGAATGTATGTCCCATTGAGGAAGACAGACAATGAAACAAACATCAATAAATATACAACAGTGCGAAACGAGGAAACAGGAGACGTAGAAGGCAGTTATAAGTGACAGGGAGGGAGTGCAGGTGGGGTCGTGTGACAGAGGGCCCGGTGGTTACGTTAGACACGGAGGCCAGGGCAGGGGATGTGCCGCCAAAAGCACAGTGACCAGAAGAATCCAGCGGCCAGAAGCAGGAGGAAGCGCATTAAAGATGGAAGGAAAGCGATGGTGAAGGCTCTGGTGGGCGCTGAGAGTGGAGAGTGTGGAGAACAGGAAGTCATCAGGGTGGCTGGCATGGAACGGGCAAGGGGGAGAAAGGTGTGCGATGAAGCTGGTGACGTTTCACCCTGGGAAGCAAAGCAGCGGGATGAGACTTTGTTCTAGTGCCATGAGCAGCTGGAGGTGGAGCGGGGTGGGGCTTCAGAGAGATAGAGATGTGGTCCGATTGCTGGTGAAATTGCAAGGGGCCAGGTCTTGTGCTTCTGAAATGACAGTCGCAGAAGGACTCCAATGGCCAGGGTTCTGGACAGAGAAGCATCCTGAACCTCTGCATCTGCCCATGGTGTGGGGGTGAGTGAGCAGCAGGAGGGTGCGCTGTGAAAGCAGCAGGCTGCTGTGACGGTCCCCGTGGGAGTGCAGAGGCCTGGCTGGGGCTGGGCCAGCGGGAGTGCGCACGGGGAGCACAGGTGATGGTCATTGAGGAGGCAGAACTGTACAACTTGTTGGCAGCGTCCAGGCTTCACAGCCGATGGAACAGTATTTCCCTACGGTTCTGGGTGGTGGTGTTGGTGCACGGATGTTAGTAGCCCCACATAAAAAATACAAAATGAAACACGGTGAAAAAAGAGGTCTCTAAGCCGAACAGAAAATTAGAAATAGGAACCGGAGGAAACCAAGGACATCGACACTAAGGATTAAAGCATATATTTAAATTAGGCAGCTGGTCACCATTACTCAGGGGGAAATGGCGCCATTAAAAGGAAAGTAAAATACCTAACTTTTTAAAAAGTCTGTTGAATAATAGCTGAGTTATCTCCCCACAAGTATAAAGGATTGTTTTGTATTCGATGTTATAAAATTTCTGTTTTGCCTTTTGACCAGAGACGTTAGACACCTCGAAGACAGCGGAGCGAGTGTCGTCTAGGAAACCACCCTGCACCTGCTCCCTGGGCCAGGGGTGGGGAACCTTTTCTCTGCCAAGGGCCATGTGGATATTTATAACATCTCTCAGGGGCCATACAAAATTATCAACTTAAACATTAGCCTGCTAGTTTTGGTCAAACATTTAATTAACTCACCCCGAATGCCTTGGCAAGGCCAGACCCAATGATTTCAGGGACTTTATAAGGGAGTCCATGAGCTGGCCGTTCCCCACCCCTGCCCTAGGGTGAGCTCGGGGGTCTTCTCTCAGTGCCGACTGTTACACAGCAAGCCCTTGTGATCTCGGAGGGATTGACAAGCTCCCACTCACAGAGCTCTGAAGCTGGATATTCTAATAGCCAGTGGCCAGCCCAGGAAAATACGAACCATTTAGTTGCATTTTGAGAAACAAGTAATGGAAGGAAGAGTAAGAACTAGATGCCACAGATCTAAGATGGGTAGAGGTATAAATGGAAGAGAATCCAGCCCGGATGGTGTGGCTCAGTCGTTGAGCATTCTCTCATGCACTGAGGTCGCCAGTTCAATTCCCTGTCAGGACACATGTCCCAGTTTCGGGCTCCATCCTCAGTAGAGGGGGGAGGGAGGCAGGAGGCAGCTGATCTATGTTTCTCTCTCAGAGATGTTTCTATCTCTCTTTCCCTCTCCCTTCTCTCTAAAAAAATTATATATTTTAATATACTTAATATATTTTATATTTAATATATTTTAAGAATGAATAAATGAAAGAGAATCCAGGCCTGCTCTGCTCCTTAGCCCCTAGAACCTTGACTAACACTAGCACCATTTTCCTGTATGTTTCCATCAGGAGCTCCACCGCCGAGCCCTACCCGACTGAGAACACCCCGCTGCTAAACCTTAACCTAGGGGTCCTAGGGGCTGATTGAAGCCACTCTCTGAACTTGAGCCAAATTACACACATGGTTTCAGGTTCCTGAATCCCTGAAAGTTAAATGTGTTAAAGAGCAAAGGAAGAGGTCTTGCCTTTGTGACATTTAAAACAATTCCAGGGCGTGGCGCCCTGCACTTCACTGCAGAGCCCCTCTCAGCTGAGGATTCCACGAGGAGTTTCTGAGCATAAAGCCTGGTTGGTGACAGGTGGGGCTCTCAACCTGGGCCCCACATGGAAGTTGGGGACCCCCCTCTGGTTTTCCACGGAGTTTGGTGCTTATGTGGATGTTTGCATTTTATCTAGGAAGAGGACTCCTTTCATCTGAATCTCAAAGAACACCAAGACCCAATAGGTTAGCCTCCCCCCAAAACAGAGGAGGACCCCGAAGGGAACAGAAGGAAGAGAGGATGACTGCTCATTCATTCAAGTTGACCAATTCAGGAAGCCTAGGATACGCCAGAGATAAGACAAGAGTGACCCACATGCTTATGTCATCGGGGTTCAAGCTCAGGCCAGGCTGAAACCCCTTCCTCTTCTCTTCATCGTTCTCCACCCGTCTCCCGACAGAGTCCTCGGCACGCGAATTAGCAAAGCGTCCTCGTTACAGGAATTAGCAAAGTGCACTGCAGTTGCAGCAGGGCGGTGGGGAATCAGGTACGAGGCGTCCCAGAGGAAGAGACTCAAACACAGAGACAGGTCCTGCCCAGCAGCCTGGGCTGTGGCCCTGGGACTGCGGGAGGTACTCATCTCGGCTCATGTTAAGGAATTAGGCCTTTCTCCTCGGATCTTCCCTGGACCCAAGCCTCACTAAACCCAGGCATTTTCTCTTTCTCCGAACCATGGTGGGGAACCTTTACTTACCAGTAGCTACGGGCCAGGCTCAGAGCTACTTGCTTTTAGCGTAATTTTATTTCATCCTCATAATGACACTATAGAGCAGAATACTATTTAATCATTTCACAGAGGAGGAAACTGAGTCACTGGCAGGACTGAGACTTAGGGCAGAAATTGAGACCACGTGGACATGCCCCACCAGTCCCAGCAGACGCCTGGGGCTCAGAGAAAGAAATAGGAGGCAGGGGAGGGGAAACCCATCAGCCGTAGGCGAGCCCCAGGCACGTGCTCAGCCTTGCGTTCAACCCAGAGAGGAGAGCATCCCTGGAGAAGGGCCCAGGGATGAAGAAGGGTCCAGGGGAGTCCCCGTGAGCCCTCCTGGACGCCAGAGGCCAGGAGCCCAGGGGCAGACAGCGCCATGCCTACCCGTGCAGCTTCAGTGAAACCCCAGCCCCAGCCCAGAGTCCCTGGAAATCACCTCCGCTCCCGAGGGTGCGGGGAGGGTGGGTCAGGCGACGGCTGGCTTTGCAACCCTCACAAGCTCTGAGGGCTCGTCCACAGAGAGCCGCGTGCCTTGCTATTCCTCATTTCCTGACCTATTACCTGTCCGAGTCAGCCCCAAACCCCTTCATGTCACCCCCTGCCCGGAGGAAAGAGACGTGGACTTACCATCTCCTCTGCGCCCGGCTGGTTCTGCCGTCTGCCCAGCCCCGGCACCTCCTGTTCTTATAGTCTTGCTGCTGGCCCTCAGTGTCAGTTGTTTAGAACAGCAACTTCCTACTCACTTGCCAGAAATCCACCACAGCCCTTCCCACGAAATGAAAGCTGATAACCCAGGAGCAGAGCTGGAGGCGGGCAGAGCAGTGGCCGAGGGGCAGGGGTCGCACTCCCACGGGGGATGCTCTGGAGCCGGGCAGGTGTGACTCACTGCCGGGCATCCCCGAGGAGCAGGCCGGGGGAGCACCCTCACCCGGGTCAGGTCCCCTTTGATGATGACACGAGCCCCACCGTAAGGTCACTTGTTTGGAAAGCAAGCTTTATCTTGACTGTAAAGACTTAGTGTCCATTGTCCACTCATTGCGAGGCCCCAGCGCCTGCCTTCCATCCCAGCAGCTTCTCGGGGAGGGAGCAAATATCGCAGGACAATGATTAGGCAGGAGGAAAAGGCCACGGAGGGATTCTGGCAACAGTGGGCAGGGGAGATTGCTGGAAACAGTTTTGAAATGAAATGTGAAACAGACATGGGGCCCTAGCCGGTTTGGCTCAGTGGGTAGTGTCGGCCTGAGGACTGAAGGGTCCCGGGTTCGATGGCGGCCAAGGGCATGTACCTCCTTGCAGGCTCCTCCCTGGCCCAGGACCTGGTCGGGGCTTGTGCAAGAGGCAACCAGTGGATGTGTCTCTCTCACATGGATGTTTCTGTCTGTCTTTCGGGCTGGCCTCCACTCCCCCACGAGCGTTCCAGCTCGTCAGTGGGCATCTCCTGCCTGGACTAAACCTGGAGGAAACAGAAAGTTCTGGAGGGAGGCCCAAGACCGTGAGGCGTTAAGGAGCTGGGAGCTGACTCTCCCTAAAAGTCAATGGGAAAATGTCCTCTGGTGAGGATTTAAAACAAACAAAAAAAACAGACATGGGTCATTATTAGGAAGGAACTTCTGCCTGCCCCCTGGCCGGGTGTGCCTCCTCCATGGCCGAGTGTGCCTCCTCCCTGGCTGAGTGTGCCTCCTCCCTGGCTGAGTGTGCCTCCTCCCTGGCTGAGTGTGTCTCCCCCCTGGCTGAGTGTGCCTCCCCCTGGCTGAGTGTGCCTCCCCCTGGCTGAGTGTGTCTCCCCCCTGGCTGAGTGTGTCTCCCCCCTGGCTGAGTGTGTCTCCTCCCTGGCTGAGTGTGCCTCCTCCCTGTCTGAGTGTGCCTCCCCATGGCTGAGTGTGCCTCCCCCTGGCTGAGTGTGTCTCCCCCATGGCCGAGTGTGCCTCCCCCTGGCTGAGTGTGCCTCCCCCTGGCTGAGTGTGCCTCCTCCCTGGCTGAGTGTGCCTCCTCCCTGGCTGAGTGTGCCTGCCCCCTGGCCGGGTGTGCCTCCCCCCTGGCCAAGTGTGTCTCCTCCCTGGCCGAGTGTGTCTCCTCCCTGGCCGAGTGTGTCTCCCCCTGGCTGAGTGTGCCTCCTCCCTGGCTGAGTGTGTATCCCCCCTGGCAGAGTGTGCCTGCCCCCTGGCCGGGTGTGCCTCCCCCTGGCTGAGTGTGGCTCTCCGTTAGGCAAGTGACTGAAACTTTCATGGCCTCCGTTTACTGGGCTGGGAAGCAGAAGGGCAGGGACAGACTTACCCTGAGGGCTGCTGGGTGAGGATGAGTCCATCCCGTAGCAGCTACGCTGGAGCCCCCGGTGAAACCCCTAGGGGCGCTCAGTGTCAGCTGCCATTGTTACTTTTCAGACTTGCAGTCAGACAACACAAGCAAATATCAAGTATTTCCTGTCAAGTCAGAAAACCGTCACTGCGGCTTCTCCTCTCGGAATCCTGGCTTGCGGGGTCGGGCTGGCCTCCACTCCCCCACGAGCGTTCCAGCTCGTCAGTGGGCATCTCCTGCCTGGACTAAACCTGGAGGAAACAGAAAGTTCTGGAGGGAGGCCCAAGACCGTGAGGCGTGAAGGAGCTGGGAGCTGCATCTGCACTGAGGACGTGGGGGCCGAGAGGAAGGGCATGATTTCATGGCAGAAACACAAAGCCTGGTGACAGAGGAGGTGATGAGGAAGGAGAGAGGGGGCAGGGGACTTGGAGGCAGCGATGCAGGTTCAGGCCACACACACACACACACACACACACACACACTCCCGGGAGCCAGACGGCTGGGCTCCACTAGCCCCCGGCTGTGTGACCTGGGCCAGTTACCCCCTGTGACTCAGTCCCCTGAGCGCACTCATAAACAAGGAAACCAGTCACCCACAGTCACCAAACAGAAGTGTTAGGACAACTAACTGGGTTTGCACATCAAGTGCTCAGAACAATCCCTGGCTCGCTGAGGGCGCTGAGGGCGAGGCCGGTTTCCCTGTGCTTTTGCTCCACTCGCCTCCACTTCCTCTGCTCTCATTCTCAACTCCAGCCCTTTCCCATGGCCTCTTTTTCCCTTTCCTAGTTTCTCAGGTGGGTGTGAGGGAAGGTGCGAGGTAGGCTGTAGGTTCTAAAACTGGACTCAACGTGTTTTAAGTTGGATATTAAATGTTAAGGGTTTTCAGGGAAGTAGGAAAAGATCCCAGGAATAGGAGTGGGAGGAAAATACCGTTGGACTTTGTTTCAAAGCTGTTCAGGCCGAACACCATTTGCTCATTTGGTTATCATCTCCTGTCCCAAGTAGATCCCGGGAAAGGATCTGGGGAGTTATCCAAGGCGTTCTTTGAGAGAAACTTTAACTGTGCAGGTGTTTGGACATTCAAGTAGTTGCTAGCAAAGAGGCTTCAGTTTTAAGCATACGCAAAATGATTTAATTAACTGCCGGAGCAATTACACCACATGAAACATATGAAATTGCACAGCACTTTATTACTCACAAAAGTTCCTGATGCTGCGAGTACAAGCTAAACGGGATCCCAGTGGTGCTGTCCTCTGGGGTCCAGCAACTGGGCTGGTCCGTTCCGGGTGCAGGGGCCGACGTTCCTCACCCGAGAGCTTGGTCGCTTCTCGATCGGGAGGTACTAGCCTTTCTTCTGTCCTCTGGCAGAGTGGCGTCACTTGCCAGACTGGCAAAAGGACATGCCTTTGTGGCTGTCTCGACAGGCGAGCACTGTTGGCTGGTCAGGACCCATTTTTAAAGCCTGTTTCGTACCCGCAGCAGTTCAGGTGGCTATCAATGAATTATGTCAATGCACACATGTTAATCTTAAACAGGGCGAGGGGCTACATGTGGTTACTCTGAGTCAGTAATCGAAGTTCAAATCCTTATCTATGGGGTACACACACTTCAGGGCAGTGGGGAATGTGTCCTTAATATCACACTTTAAGTTTCAGGAAAGTTAACTCAAACATTTTAAAAACTTTTTTTTAACATTTTTTAGAAATTTTTAAACTTTTTTAAACATTTCTATATTTTACTACAACATCTCCATAGAGCATTTAGGTGGTTTCCAGTTATGTGGCCACGAAACCTACAATTCCAAAAAAATTAATTAGAAGTCTCATCTGGTTCATATATGTTTTCTCCTCTCTTCATAGTAGACTGCAGATCCCCAGGGCGGGGGCGCTGCCCATGCGAGTCCCTGGCAACATCTCTCAGAGAACAGACACCAACACTGCGGGTTCCTCGATAGGCCTGATGGCTCTGGGGGGCACCGTAAGTCTCCCCCCGCCTCCCTCTGCCCTCTATCTTATCCCAGTGGTGCAGTCTAGACACAGGAAATACTTTTTTATATATATATTTTATTGATTTTTTTTTACAGAGAGGAAGGGAGAGGGATAGAGAGTTAGAAACATCGATGAGAGAGAAACATCGATTCAGCTGCCTCCTGCACACTCCCTACTGGGTATGTGCCTGCAACCAAGGTGCATGCCCTTGACCGGAATCGAACCTGGGACCCTTCAGTCCGCAGGCTGACACTCTATCCACTGAGCCAAACCGGTTAGGGCAGGAAATACTTTACTAGTAAGTCCCTCAAAGCTCCAGGCAGGTGCTAGCACCAAGGATTCAGGAATGAGCAAAATCATCATGGGGCTCACGGCTGCTTTATTTGGGGAGCGGGGGAGGGGTGGACATTGAGATATTAAAGAAAAGTCTTACCAATAAACGCAGGAAGCAAAAGGTGTGCTCAAGGAAAGGGCATGATGGGAACTTGCCCTGAGGAAGGCCCCCGACGGTGTCCTCAGAGCTGAAGTCTTAGTTAGTGTCAGCATCACTTCACTGGTGAGAGAACATTCTAGGCCAGTAAGGGGAGCAGCCTGGAGCCTCCCGATGGCATTGGTGGCTGGAGGGCATCCAGGAGGCTGGAGAGGTGGGCACCCAGACCAAGCCAGGTGTCTTTTGGGCACCATCTGTCATCCGGTCAAATAGAAGGCAGCTAAGTTCTCAGGGAGGCTCGCGTGCACAGCTGGTCCCTCTGTAGGATGACCCATTAGAACTTAAAAATATATATATATAGCCTTCGCCCTTATTGTTAATATAATACATGCTTGTTTTTAAACTTTTTCAGAAAAACACAGAAAAAGAAAAAAAATCACCCATAATACCATCATCAGTGCAATTGGGATAAAATTGTATATTCAGTACAATGATTTTTTTCATTTAATAACATATCATGGGGGTGGGAACAGGTGGGGAGATGTCAATGGGGGAAAAGGGAGACATATGCAATGCTTTCAACAATAAAGAATTCAAATGAAAAATAATAATAACATATCACAAGCTTTCTGATGTTTTAAATTATGTTTATGCTCAAGGTACATCTGAAAATAAAGCCCAATATAGAAGGAGATGTTTACATGTAGATACAACATGGAGGTGAGGCATGAGTGATCAATCCCACCTCCCCACAGCTTAAGGGTCTTATCAAAACTTCCCCGGCAAAGGAGCCCTGGGGCCGCGTGGCCCGAAGTGTCTGTCCCTCCGCAGCAGCTGAGACCTCCGTGGCCCAAGCTGTCCGCCCTCCCACAGGGCTTTGGAGGGTGTCTGAGACCAGCTGGGGGAACTTCCAGCTCTTCCTGCTGAAATTCTATTTATATTGGGCTGTGGTGTTCCGATCAGGGCTTCCTTGTCTCTATCTTTGCTCTCCAGTTTTTGAAAGGGAAGGAAAAGCCAGGGAAT